AACATACATTTTTATATACTTAATCCCTTCAATTACTGTATTAGTTTGCTTTATAAATAGATAAAAAATACTTAGATTCTTTGATCTTACAATTTTCTTGTCTTTAGTAATATGGCCTTATTAGCTTTTTGAATCAAAATTTATAATGGATAAAGTATGGCACAAAAGATAATTGCAATTAATCCTATTGGACCATCAAACCTTAACTAAACTTTAAACCTTTAATACCCATAAGATGATAGATGTTAGAAGCAATGAGCCTGGAATTACTGCAATTTGATAGACATAGCTAAGCTGATACTCAATCACATTGAAATCACTACTGACTAGATTCATAATTTTGCCAATGTTTAATTGGGAAATCTAAGATGAATGTAATTCTATGATTCTATCATAAATTAGATTAATTAGAATCATTCGCATTTTAGTTGCAGCATTACTGATCATATATCTAAAAATTAATAGGATTCATATACTATTAAAAATGTTTACTCATTAATGCTAATAATGATAGTAAAGCAAGAGCACATGCTTGTATATATGCATCTCCTATTTTATTATCTTCAACTGCTGAAATTACAGTTTCAGTAAGAATAGCCATCACAAATCTTGAATATGTTTCTGTCATGGCTAGAAATATTATTAAGAGTGTCACTAATTTATTAATTCTCCAGAAAAATATTTTGAATAGAGTGAGAGCAGTCAAATTTGAACACTCCTAATTATAATATAATTATTAAATATACATTATTTTTGATTTGCTGATATAGGATTTTTAGATTGAATTAAATAGAATCATTTACTGCTTATTTTGGAAGATGGTTAAAATTAATTTTTTGTACAGAACTTTATAACAATCTTTTCATTTCTCTCATAAAACTGAAAATATGATAAAGAATAAGTGTCTAAAATATATTAAAATTCTAGTAAATAGTGTCTTCTGATTAAATTAACATTTATGACCCTTTTTAAGGAGAATATAAACTATTAGCACTATTCAAATTTTTATATGACTTTATTGTAATTTCGGCTTTTTGAGAATCATGATCTTTTTGTTATTTTGGAGTACCATTTTATTATTGATCAAATTGTTAACTTCCAATATTATTTACTCTCCATAAACTAGCAGAATATTGATGACCTTAAACTTTAAAAGGATTTTAAGCCTCTTCCTCATTATTTGGAGTGAATGCTACTTACATATTTCTATTATTCATGTAGCCACCATCTGATTCTTGATCACTTTTATTTTCTTCACTTATGTCTTCTTTTATAATGTCACTATCAATATCTAGATTACGAATTCTGATGGATCCTTTCTTACGCAAAGTCCTCTAAATTCTTAGTCTGATCTACTAATCATTTTAATCTATGTCATTATTAGAAGAAACAATTTCATCAGGTTAAACCTATTCTATGTAGCGAGACTATATTGGTTAATATCTTTTGCACTATTTATCAGGAGAAGAATTAATCATTTCAAGTATTAATTGATTTATATAAAATTTACAGAATACATGATAAACTGAATTATTGGAAAAGTTTCGAGATTGTTTGAATATTTAATTAGTTTGAATTTTTATATATGTCACATAATTATAATTATCATATTAATAAATCGCTTACTGCTTGATTTCTAACTTCGAAATTGTAATCCAGCTAGTTTCCATTCCTTAAAGAACTATATTTTAAATATTCATCAAATTCAATCTATTACATTTATCCATTATTTAAAAGATCAGCTTCTTCCTCTTTCTTAATACTCTAATTCTATTCTATATCTTATCCTTAGTTCCAATAATCTTAATGATGTACACTAGCATAATAGTATTTCTATTATTCTAACATCATTAAATAATAAGGATCGGCAGCCTCGTAATTTAATATCAAATTTCCTTCCTCTTTTATTCATTTTATAATCATTACCTGCCTTAGGCAAATCAGATTATGGATTCTTCTTTTTTCTTCCTGCCCTACTTCTTTCTGTTCTTGGCAATCTTTTACCATTCTCCCCTCTCAAAGCATAAGGATTAAATTTCTAATGATGACTTCTACATTAACTAGGAGTCCTGGTTCCTATTAATTCACTCATCTATTTAAATATCTTAGATGTTTTCTTCATCATTGAAGATGTCATTATATTCTAGTATTATTACAAAAATTAAATATAAGTTGTATGTTCATCCGTTGACCAATGACCAGTATTTATATTCTCTTTCTTAGGTTTCTTTATTTATTAATTCTATCCTTTCTATTTTTATGTTTATTGAGAACCTTCTTATGAACCTACTACTTCATTTTGTTAATTTGAAATTAAATCAGATTAAAGTTTAGGCATTTGACTTCCCTATTTATAATGTAATACTGGATAAGAAGTAATTGGCTTAATTCTTAAATCAAATTAAATATATTTATTACATCTATTCTCCTTATTATTGCACAACTATTTATTAAAGATCTTCAATAATCTATTTCTCTGATTCCATTGTTTTTGGTAATAACCCTTTTTAGTCGTTATTCCTATTTACAATATAAATATTAATTTTACTTATTTTTTTTATTTTTTTTCATTTTTATTTAACTTGGGATTTCATGTTCCTAAACATACTCAAATTAATAATGAGGATAAGCAGAAGGATAAAAATTCTAATGAATGAAATTAAATTCATTGTAATTTGAATTGGAACTTTATTCTAAATTAATAATGTATTATTGTTATACTTTGTTGTTCAATCTCTCCTTAAAATGTTACTTAAGGTTCTAATATATAAGGATAATAGTTTGGAAATTATTACATGCTCATCTGATATTTAGAATATTTATTAACTATTCTAATTAATATATAATATTAAAACAATTTATACAATTTAACTTTCTTTCATTATTGTTTAACATTAATTTATAGAATTACATAACATTATCTATTTAATATTATCAAATACTTTCCAATCTCTCCTTAGATCAAATTTAAATTAAGAATATATATTTTAATTTCCTAGAATACTCTTTATCTAAACAATAACAAAATAAAACTATTATTAATAATAAGAATTATTTATTTTATGAAATGTCATAGCATAATATTATTCTTCATTTTAATAGCAGAAACCTTATGTTTTGATGGAAATGATAAAATATTTCTTAGTTTATCCTAATCATTTTGTTCAATTATTGTTACTGAATTGGGAGATAAAGTAATTTATAATACAATAATAGACCTTTTTCTTAGCTGCTATAATGTCTATAAAATATAATCGAATAGCAATTTTAATTGGTTCTACTCTTGCACTTATAATCATCACAACCATAAGTACAATATTTGGACTTGTGATTCCTCAATTGATTTCAATCTTTTATGCATAAATTCTAGTTTCAATTGTTTTTTATGGTTTTGGTTTTAAGTTTTTATATGCCTGGTATATAATGTAAAAAGAAAAAGAAGAATTACAAGAAGTTGAATAGGAATTAACAACATTAAATAAACAATTAATGAATTTACCAGATCCTGATACAGATCAAATTAATGATAATGTTACTAAAAGTAACAATCTCATTATTTTATAATAGATTTTATATAAGTTCAATTCTAATCAGTGGTTTGGTAAGCTTTTACCTTAACGCTTTTGGGAGAATGGGGAGATAAAAGTTAAATTACCACTATAAGTTTGACTGCTATATATAATCCATTTTATATTTTCTTGGGTGCCATTATAGCACACTTTGTTTGTACACTTATAGCAGTTCATGGTGGAAAATTGATTGCAAATAAAGTCTCTGAAAAAAATTTCAATTTTCTAGGAGGCATTGCTTTTCTTTGCATAGCACTTATTAATACTTATATGACACTATTTTTATGATTGTATATATATTTTCAATTGAATTCTATGTATTATATTATATTAAAAATGATCAAAATATCTTAATAGATAAATAATATTATTAACCTATATATTGAAAAAAATAATTTGGATATTGTAAATTCATTTCCCAATAGAATATAAATTTATTTATCTTAATTATAGATAGCTTTTAGAAATTAAATTAGTTTGAAAATTAATTTAATAAATCATTTAGTCAATATTGTTTTTTTTGGAATGAAAAACTTAAAATTTTATTAAATATAAGTTATGAATAATTATATAAAACATTATTTAAAGTAATATAGCAAATTAGGGTTATATTCAACCAAATAGTTTGGAAACAAAGTAATTAAAATAGCTTTGATGAGAATTCTTAATAATAATATATTGAAAAAACTGATTCCAGATTTAAATTAGATTAATTAGCTTAAATTAAAAAAAGAACAAACTAAAGCTTAAAATAAAGATAATTCTTTAAGTATTTAACAAAACTTATATTATTAGTAATTGAATATTTAGAAGAATAGATAATTGCTTATTTTAATTAAAAAGTCAAAGATCTAAAATTGTTATAATCACTGAAAATAATTAATTTAATCATTACATAGATTTAATAAGGGGCAAAAATATCCTTGTCTACTAACATAAAGTTAATCTTACATTAATATGATTAAAGAACATTCTAAGATAAAAGAATCATGAAAAACTAATTAACAAGAATATTTTCTTAATGTATAATATTAATCATTTCCTAAATAAATTAAATGATAAATTACAAGTATTCTAATAGTAAAATTAATTGATAAATTGTTTAATAGATGTATGTCTTCATAAAATATACAAAAATCAATTAAATTAACAATTTACTTTTATATTCTAGAATCAAAAGAACTATTGATGTTTTATCATTCTTATTAATTTAAGTCTTGTTAAAATTAGTTTATGAATTTTAATAGTAAATATAAAGATTATTGGATTTAGATGATATAGATAATGATATTGATTATGAATTGATAAATTAATTATCAAATTAATGCAGTTATTATAATATCTTAGAATATTTTGTTATGATTAATAGTAATATGCATATGAAATTCATTATAGTATTTAATAATGTGATTATGTGAGTGTAATGGGAAGATGAAGAAGAAGTATGAAAGAGTGAATATGAATTTAAATTAATTAATTATGTAATGGATTCGTGATTACATGAATTTGATCATTTAGACCAATCTATCTCCATCCATAAATAATATCAAATTGACAGCTTTCTAGATTCTCATTTATCATTTATAGCTCACTCATTTTATAACATAGCAGTATGATGAGAATATTTTCAGATTGATTAAAGCACTTTCAGAGATCAGCATATTGACATCCCTATTCTAAGATATTTACACTATTAATATATTGACAGGGGTTCTATTGGCTATTCTAAATGTGTTACCTTATCTTATAATTTTGCATAGAAAAATAAGGAGCGAAAACTAAAACGTTGATATCATATCAAAATCAATTTTAAAGGTAAAAGAAAACACATAAATTAAAGTCTGCCACAAAGTTAGTGAATTACTATTTCCTATATTTTACTTGGCTTCTCTATCTTCCTCAAATGCATTACATAAGTTGGAACATAATGAGTTAAAATGATCTATTGCTTTTGATGTTAGCATTGCTGAACTTACTCTTTTCAATAGTATCCTTGCTTATTTCAAACATCTATTTCATAAATTTTGAATTCAATGAATTACAATTGAGAAAACATTTCACTTATAATAATTGTTTTGCACAGTTACTTATAATACCAATGGCCATATTGAATCAAAGTTAAGATTAATTGATGAAGATAATCAGTAGAACAATACATGGAATAATCATTTTAATATTATTTTATGAAGCTTATTTTTAATTACCTTTTGGGTATAAATTTAATTATTAATTGACCTAGATTCTCAAAATATTCAATCATTTACAATAGATTATTAGTTATGCATATTTTAGTATTCATTTTCACAACAATCATGTACCAAAATCCAGAATATAGATATAGTCTCTCAACCTTAATGCTTGTAACTTAACCAATTACATAATACTTATTTTAAGTATTAATGTAAGATAAAAGATTAAAAACATATCATAACACAACAAATTAATATTAGGAATTATTGATAATAGAAGATTTCTTTGAAATAATTTAAGCAACATAAAGAAGTAAGAAGAGAACAATAGAATTAATTTAAAAATTTAGTTTACATTTTAATCGATGTTAATCTATAAAATGTTAATGTAAAAAATTTGGAGCTAGTGGAATATTAAGATGGGATGATGCAGTTATTTTAACATCATGTTTATTTAGAATAGGATTTGAAAAACATAAAAATGATTCTAAAAATCTTGAAATTTATAGTTTAAAATTCTTAACTTTTATTAATAAATATAGAAATAATGCACCTAAAAGTTATTAAGAATTAAAGATCTTATTTTAAAAGAAAAGAAGTTATTCTTTTTATTTTATTTAGATTTGTTTATTATTATAATTTATACTTTAAGCATAAATGCAAAAAGATGAAGATTATAATATTAATAAAGATACAAGAGTATCTAATGTTAAATTATAAGTTAGTAAGAGTGAAAGAAGTATTGTATAAACATTATATTAAATGGAATAAATAAAATAGAATATACTTCCTTTGTTAATATAACTTAGTAATTTTAAAATATAATTTTGGAAAAGTTATTTAGCAGGTAAATTTGTTAGTTTTTCAGATATTGAATAATAAGTTTAGAAATTATAATCATTAAAACATTAAATTTTATATTAATTAAAAATATATCAACCTATATTTTATACTAATGGAAGAACCTTTAATGTATAATTCTTAAAATATAGTGCATTAATTGATTTATTATTATTTAATAATGTAAGAAAATATTTTGAATTTGAAAAAGGTAAAAAATATATTTTATTAATTTAGAGAGAAGAGAGATTTTATAATAAGAGAAAAGTATGAATACTTTTGAAATTACTAACATTAATTTCTTTAAAGGAGAAGCAATATCTGTTAAAGTATGCATAGCTTAAGGACCAAATATAGGTAAAGTATTGAATGAAGTTATTTCACCATTAATACCTAAATTTTTTGGATTTGGACATTTTGATAATCCATTAGAGGCATTTCTTGATTACACTAAAGGAAATATTAATACTTTAATGCCAGCATGGTTATCTCCTGTTCATGATGAGATGATGTAAAATTATATCAGAAGAGGAGGAACAGCCAGAATAGGTAAGTACTTTTAAACATTTGCAAAGATTTATGATAAGACATTAATTAGATGTTAAGTGTATCTTGCACATAATTTTAGTAAAGATTTAACTGATGATTTTACAATGATTGGATGTTTAAAATCTTTAGAAGAATAATAACCAAAAGTATCAGTTGATGAAGCTAAGAAATTAAAGAATGTAGTATTTAAAGGAGTATAACATATTCTTTTTGATGTAAATGGAAATATTTTAGGTGTTACATAAGGTTTATTTAAAATGATTGATAGATTATAAAGAATAAGAGCTAATTAAAATATATCATCACTTAAATAATAGAGTGTAGAAAAGAGTAAATCAGATATATCTTCATTAGAAAGTGAGAGTTATGATGTATATGATTAATAATGGTCTAATTCAATATTAACAATTGATGATTTTTATAATAAGGTATTAATTTGGATGCTTTTACCATTTATATGTAGAGAAATAGAATAAACAGGAATTGAATATTTAATGGATGGTGAAACACCTCCAAAAAATAGATATCCAAATTTAATTGATTTAGATAATAGTAATAATGTTGTTAGTAATAAAGAGACATATTTATTTGTTCCAGAAGACTTACATTTATTTGTTTAATAATATGAAAAGGCATTATAAAAGATTATAGATGATACTCGTGTTTAATCTAATAATTTTTCAAGTGGTAGTTAATATAAAGGTTAAAAATATGATTAAGAAAGTGATTCTGTTAGTTTATAATAAGCAGTATCAATTTTTAATGAAAAGTTGTGTTCATTTTTTTATGATGAACATTTAAAAAGACATTAAGCTTTATAATTTGGAACAACTAGATAATCAGAAATGTAAAAGACTTCAGTTAAACCATAATCTTAAACATAAGTTTCTATTCCAAGTGAAGAAGATAGTGAATAATTAAAAACAAGAGCTGAAAAAGTTTATTAAGATAAGTATTCTAAATATATTGAAAAAATAACACCTTAAGATTTCAATCCTGTACCAGTTTATTATTCAGTAAATTATGAAGAATATAGATATAAGAAAAATGATGTTGATTTAAAATAATAAATGTTTTTAATTGAATTAACTGTGAATGAATAATTATTACTTACAACTATGGGATATAAAAGATAAGTTAGAGATACTATTAAATAAACATTCTAAAATTATTAATCTAAACGATAATTATTAGAATAATAATTATAAACTGAAGATTCAATGAGTGTTTAAGGAAATATGAGTGAATAGAGAAGTGATCATGATTTAGAAGTTACAAATTATCTCTTTCCATCACATCCTTCTCATTATTTTGAAGATATTTATATAGATTCATAAAAATTAGATTAATTATCTAGTCCTTTTAAATAAATGGATAATGCACAATTATTATCAAGTAGAAGTGATGAAGTAGAAATTCAATAAAAACTTACTCTCAATTCATAAGAATCTTTAGTAAAAAATACTGAAAAGTAAATTACAACTATGAATTCAAAAGCATTTAATAAAAAAAAATAATAAGATTTCTTTAATGAAAATGATAGTAAATTAGCTATGGATAGTAGAGCATCATAATAATAAATATAAGAGGAATATTAAGTTAAATATTCAGAAAATTTAAAATTATTTGATTCTAATTATAAATCAACTTTATAAAAAATAGAAGATTTTATAAATCCAACTACATTTAGAATATAAAAATATCTACTTTACATAGTATTATTCTTAATTATTGGTTATATCATTCTATTAACAATAGCTGTATATCAAAAATATAATTTTGATGATTGTCTTAATTTAATAGATTTGATGTTATCTACATAAAAAGCATATTCTTAAATTACACATGGATTATATCGTATAGAATTAGAATCTTAATTTTAAATGGATTAAAAAATGAAATAATTTTATTTATAATAAATTGATTTAAGTTTACAAAGTTTTATCAATTTATAAAGCAATTAATTATTTGATATTAATTAAGTAGAATTTAGTGTAAATTAATTTTACAATATAGAATATGAATTAATTATGAAACCAACATTATAAGAAACTATATAAATGAGTTTAGCATAATTTTATAAAATTAGAAATACTACTTCATCTAATTTAATGATTACTTAAATTTCTGTTGCTAATTTATAAGAAATTGGTTAATTACCACATTTAGCATTTAATTATTGTTATGATGATAAAATAACAAATGAAGAATAAACACAATAATTATTAACTATTTATATGGTTGTAATCTTTTTTTTAGTTATGTTATTATAATTTCTATAAATTCCATTAATATCTAGATTATCTAATGATCATCGTAGATTATATAAAGTTGTTATGAAATTATAAATATATGAAGTATAAGATGAAATAGAGACATATGAATAAGTATAAACAATTTTTAAGAAATCATTATATGAATGGATGTTAATAGATTTTGTTTCTGAAACTAGAATGTTTGAAAGTAGTGTAGAAAATATGTAATATCATAATAATTAATTAACTGATTAAAGTTAAACTTAATTATTAAATACTAATAATAAGAAAAATAAATATAAATTATATGAAAAATTAAAAAGGTAACATATTAATCAAACTAGATATATTATTATATTATTAATTGGACTCTTTGTAATTTTAGCTTATTTCTTAATTATATTTTTTGTTATATTTATACTTTCCTAATAATTACTTGCAAATATTGATTTATTATTTAATTTTAAATTGGCTCAATCTTCTTTTATGAATATAATTAATAATATGGATTTGATAAGTTATTAAACTTATGAACAATAAAAATTTATTAATATTATGAGTTAAGAGTAATTTATCAATTATTCTTAAGAATTAAGAAGTGATAAATAAGATTAATTCATAGAATTTAACAATAATTTTGTTTCAATTATAAGTGATCAATAATTAAAAACAAATCTAGAAGCATTAAATGAAGATGATATTTGTTTACCATCTATAGGAATTATGTGTAATGAAACGTAAACTTATATTCATAATCCATCAATCATTTAATATTATTAACATGGTATGAAATATTTAATAACACAAATTAATAAAATTATTGAATCTTATCCTTAATTCTTTTACAATAATTCTGGTAATAATACAGAAGAACATCTTGAAGACTTTTTTGAAGGTATAGAACATATTATTTATATTGATTATGGAAGTGACATTTTAGTTTAAGCATATGATAAAGTTGTTATTACTGCACAAGAATAATTCGATAAATCTTTGTCAATCTATAAAGAAACATTGATGATATTTATCTTAAGTGTTGGTGTATTAGGATTGTCAATCATATGGATTCTAGGAAGATTATTATTAAAAATGTAAGTAGATTCAATAAGTACTTGTTAAACATCATTATTATTAATATCTCCCAAAAGATATTTGAACCAAAATATAATCCAAATAGCATAAAAAAAAAGATGATTGATTAACTTTTATATAATTATCTTATAAATCATTATGATGTCCATCCTCCATCCATAGTATAAGTAGATCCTTTGATTTATGAAGCTGAATTTGAACATAAAAATGTAATCAAATCACCTAATTAATCAGTTGAAACTGGTGTTACAGAAGGTTACTTTTCTTCTAATAATTTAATTTAAGCATCTTCAAATGATATCTTATATTAATCAGCTCTTTATTAAATTTATATCTCTATCAATTTTGTCATTACCCATCCAGGACAAACTGCATTAATAGTAATACCTGTTTTAGCTACTTCAAGTGCTGTTGCCTTTGTTAATCCAACTATTCCATGTTTTGCAGCCACATATGCACATTTATTTACAGAAGCAACCAATCCTATCTAATAAATGATGTTTATTACCATGAACACTAGCAATATTGATAATACGACCCCAATTTTTATCAAGCATTTATGGTAATGCATATTTAGTTGTAAGAAATGCAGCAGTAAGATTTATTGCAATAATATCATTAAATTTCTATTCTGGAAAATTAACTGCTTATTCAATATATTGTATTCCAGCATTATTGACTAAAATATCTACACTTCCTAAAGCTTTACTTGTTTCTTACATCATACTTTTAACCTTTTCTATATTTTATTTAAAATACTTATGGTCCTTCTTTTAAATCAGCACCATGATAGAATGTCTTTACTTTATATTAGTCTTCTATTTCTCTCCTTATTGCAGTAACTTCCTCTGGTTTTGCAAATCCATTAAGTCCTATATGAACACCTTAAGATGCCAATTTCTTTGCAACAGACAAACCAATACCACTTGTTGAACCAGTGATTAAAGCTACTTTTCCAGGAAGATTAGCAAACATTTAATAAATTATGAACCTAAATTAAATATTGTATCAAATTATTGCTTTGATTAAATTTGTAAAATAACATATAAATTTATTATATATTAATAATGACAGAAGGACTCAAATTTGTTAAATGTGCCCTCTTATAATAAGAAAATGATCCACTTGAATATTGTGTTTGTACACTTCCTATTCCATCAAATATTGGAATTCCTCTCTTTCCATGTGAACTTCCTAATAATTTTAAACTTTTTCAATCTAATGAAACATTTTCATAATTAGGAATGGTATTTGTAAATTTCATTTCTATCAGAAAATCATGGACATTGAAGAAGAAGAAAATCATAAATTGATGAGGACAATCTGTTGTCCTAGTTTAAGACCCTTAACTATTACATCAAGAGACTTTTATAATAATATTCCAATTTAAGCAGAAAGAAAATTCGCCATTCCTTTTATTTAAAAAAATGAAATGAAAGTTAAATATGATGGTGAATATGCAGGTAAAATTGTATAAGAATAATGTTGCACTTTTATGAAGGGCATGTTTCATTAATTATTCATATATGATAGCAATGAATACCTTATTTATGAGATAACTGCAAATTTAAAATAAAAGGGATTATTATGTTTTTTACCATTCTAATCTTGCAAATCTATAAAATATTCCATTATTGATAAGAGACCTGCAGAAGAATAATTAATTAATGAAAACTATACTAATGGTTAAATTGAACATCTATTCTTTGGATGGTCAAATGAATTTTGTTCAAAAGCTGATTAATGTAAAATTTAGATTATTTAATCTTTTTTTAGATGGTATTAAATTTCCAGATAGTGCAAGTGAAAAAGATAAAGCATTGCTTATAATGTGTTGTATATTTATTGATTATTTGTGGTTTGAAAATTTTTGAAAATAAATTTACTTATTCATAAATTCTTTCGTATTTTTAATAAATATTTTGGCTTGTTTATCTTGTTCTTATTCATCATCTAAAAACTAAAATAAATTTAAAAATTATTATTGCAATTCTGGTTATTATGATTTATTTTCCCTTAAAAATTTCAATAAATATTAAGTTTACTTTTATAAGTCTTCTTCATTTCATCTACTTTATCATTAATAAATTGTTAAATTTCTATATATAATAAGGTGAAAATTATTTTTATTGTTACTTTCCATTATCAATATAATTCATACAATTTTTTATGCTTTTTTAAAATTTTACATGACATTCAATCAAGAATAGAATGATCTATCTACTTATAACCTTTTAATAAATATAATAAATTAAGAAAACTTAAATAATAAAAAAATACATAAATATTTAATAATAAAATTATTAATCTGTTTATTTTTACAAATTTATCATTTATTATTACTGTTAGTATTAACGTCTTTCAATATAGATAATGAATTAAACCTAAAAATATGATTCTATTTACATATCTCTTCAATATTAACTAGATGTTATTAATATTAATAATAATTTCAAAGAAATTACATATATATGAATAAAATAATGATTATATTCATATATCAGAATAAAAACATAATGATTACTTGATACTTGATTCAAAATCAAAACCCCTTAATTGAATATGTTTGTATAGAAATAAGAATTATAATATTTTGTATTTTGTTATTAAATTTGAATTTTCAAATAATTAATACATTATAATTATTATCCTGCTAACTTAAACAACATTCTATAAGATATTAATCGAAATTAAAATGTTTTAAATTTACAGTAAGTTATTCGGATAAACATATGAATTAAGAATAATTAAATAATTCATAAATATACAAATAGCTAATTTCACTTTTAAGAGCTAAAACTACTTTCTCCAAGCTCTTGTCCTGTTTCTGATATTTAGCTTTTCAATGCTTCTTTCAAACCATTTCCAAATCCAAGTTTACATTAAAATGCATAATAACAATCAAAAAGCATGATTAATAAACATGCAAATGTAGTTCCTATAACTATTATAACAGTATATGTATCTCCAAAAGGATTTTCTTATTAGGAGCAATCACCTGAGTCACTTGAATTTTTTTGATTATAATAGTATATCATGTAATACACTGTTTTTGTAAGAATATAGAGTTATACTAATGATATCATAGAAATATATATCCAAAATTTCTATATATTTTCTTCCTTTAACTATTTTTATTATAATAATACTTACAGCCCAATATCCAATAAAAATGCTAGCAATCTAAAATAGAATTACAATTGAATCAATTAAATATAAGTACCAATGTAAATGATCAAAAAAGAAAAAGAATGTTAAAAATGTACTAAATGATATCAATAGATATAATTGCATAAATGTACTAAAATTTGAATAATTTCTAAATATATCTAATAGATAATAATAAATTATAACCTTATATTTTTGGAGATGCTCCAACTTTCATTATATTTCTATATACAAATACATCATAAAATGGTTTATAACATACTACACTTAAAACAAAAACACAAAATGAATAAAATAAGTAAATGTAATCAAATGCTGCTAATACTTTATCTCCTTCATTTGTTTCAGGATTTTAAAAGTATGAAGTAGGTCTAAAAAACCTTGCAAAAGTACACAAAAATGTTATAAATTAAATAATAATGTATGCAAATAATTCTAAAACATTTGATTTGTAAATCTTATAATAAACTTATAGATTACAGCATTAAATACATAGTAGCAATCTCCAATTTAAAATAAAAAAAGCACTGCCCATTTATAATAATCATCTAAACTCTAATTGCATTAAGAACCATTATTATCCTTACTTTATTGTAGATCTAAATTAATTTGTTAATAAATACTCACAATAACATCTGCTATGAATATACTAGCCAAATAGGTCATTTGTATTACAATAATAATGATGAATGTTTTAGTTGCCTTTTGTTCAATCCATGTCTTAAAATCCATATTAATATAAAATAGTTTATAATTAATTTATATGTTTAATACTTCTTTTTATTTAAGATTTAAACTAATAATTTGATACTAAATTTAAGTAATATAGAATGATTTCTAAACATAATTATTAAATGACTAATTTGAATTAAAAAAAGTATAAAACACTATAATTAATAGATTATTAAGAAATATTGATAATAATTATTATATTAATAACAAAATTGTCCTTTATTATTATTCAATTTAATTAAAGATATTAATATGGATTTTTAATTCCCATTTAAACTCTTTCAATCATCTGTTCTCTAAACTAATTCAATGCTACTCTTACATCTTTACATTTTTTTATGGCTATTTCTAAGTATATTTGATAATAGAAATACATTCTAACAAAGGTTACAAATCTTTTAATGCTTTATCTTTAGTATCTCCAAACCAACTTTAAATGTAAATACCATTTTCAGGTTGCAATTAAAAATTTTCTGGCATATTATCAACTATTATAACTTTGGCTAAACTACGATTTAGAATTGATAAATCCTTTTAATATATAATCTTATTAAATACCTTTATATAAACTTAATCTTTAAAAATAGTTTTATCTCTATATAATCTTTATTTAACAACTCCCTTCTTATCAATAATATCAATTATAAAATTAGCATAATCAGGAAGTGCTGCTGTAAATATAAATATTTCATAATATTTAGACAATTAATCTAAAAATTCTTCTGCATAAGGTCTTACTAGAAATTATCCTCCTCCTTTTGGAAACTATTTAAAATATTTTATTAATTTACTTCTTGATAATGAACTAATGTTTCATCTAAATCTAAAACTAAAGTATAATCTTTATTTGAGGCTGCTAAAGCTCTTTCCAAATCAAGTGGCATAATTTGTTCAATTTAAGAATTAATTTTTTTCAATTACAATATATATTAGTCTGGATTAGTGGTAATTCTGGATAAAATCATAAAAATTTCGGGGCGTGTTATTTCGTCAATCCTTTTGGACTTTTATATTGATTAAATAAAGTACATCAATCCCAAAATTGACTTAATGATAAAATTGTTCTTTTATAATGCCTGTTTCCCTTTAGGACAAACCTTACGAATATTAAAAGTTCTTAGATCTATTCTCTATTTTAATAAATTCAAATTTAATGAATTATTGGTCACATTCTCTAATACTTACAATACATAGAGATTGCTATTAATTATATACTAAATTAAATTCTTTATATTTTGATCTTCATTAATTTAATCTTATAAGTAATCACTAACTAATAGATAACATGCAAAAGATTCAAATAAAAATATTTCAAGTATTTGAGGTTCAATTTTAAATAAATATTCACTCTTAGAATATAATAATAAATTATACATGATTTTTTTCACTAATGATTCTGATTAATTTTTATAATTAAGTACATTTTGTTGCCAAAGTCATTTAATTAGGATTATCAATTAAAATAATTATATCATTCCATATCTATTCTTTTTACAAAAGTGATTTATATATATTTTATTAAGTGACATCATCAATAATTTAAATATGTGTTTATTTTGTATTTTCTATTTTAGATTTTGGAGATTTGAGAGGTGAAACATTAATTGATTTTTCATTTTGTTTCTTTCCTGATGTTTAATTTGATTAAATATTATTATTATCAAGTTTCTATTTTAAAATATTAAATGTTTCCATATATGTTGTAGGACTAAGAATATATTAATAAAATTACTTTTTTTTATTACTACATACTTAAGCAATAAATGTTTATTATTATTTATTTTTTTAATTGCTATTTGCTTTATAATTAATATTATTTTAGTTATTAACATTTTCATTATTAATTGTATTTTATCTTGTTGGAGTAATACTGTTTTTTTTACATTATTGAGCAATTTATGAGATTGTTAGCAATTTTGAGTTTTTATTAGATTTTGATTAAGATATATTAGAATCATTTTGTTTATTAGATTAGTAATATAAATTTTGATATGGTTTCCTATCTTAATCTCTACTTGTATCTGGAATTATGAACGCTGATTTTAGAAAAGTTTCATTATTTTAAGGTGACTTTACATTTTGTTTTCCAAAATTACTTATTCTACTAGATACTATGAAAATCAATATTAATTTACATAAACTATCACCTCTACTTGATCTACTATCTATTTATTTTTTTTGAAATAAGCTTTATCCAAATAATTGTGTAGAAGTCTTGTTTTAATCACCTTGTATCAAATTATTTAGTAACTACTTCACTTTAGATGGATTTGTGTATTCATTTCTAGCAGTTAATGGTCTATTTTGATTATTAGGAGTAATATCTAATATAATTGTATATGTTATACTTCTAGTTTCAGGTGAAATTTCTTTAAAAGATCCACGTGATTTACTTGAATATGATGATGTATTTAGTTTATTTTAACAATCTGATAACTTTGGATTTGATCTGCTGTAAAACATATTTGAAATTATTAACAGAATTAATTAATTACAATTTCTTTGAATTAAATGCAGATCAGATCTCAACTAAATTAATGCAAGTCTAAATGTTTGATATAAATATTGTTGATATTGTTTTAATCACAATTTTTGGAATTGAAATAAAAATATAAAACATAAGATAACTAACTAAATACTAATTAAGTTTGAACATATATTTAATTATAAAATATTCAAGCTTCTAAAACGAGATTATATTCTTTTGTGTAGTCAATTAAGATACTACCTAAACATTTTTACTCATTTAAAAATTGTTAACAATATTTAGAATTTAGAATCTCAAAATTACTATACTATATTTAATTAATTTACTTTCCAATTTAATTAAAAAAAGTTTGAATTTTTATTGCTCTTTTTTTAAGGTTTCTAGTACTTAATTAATTGAATTCAAAATGAGAAGAAAGTGTGAATTTCACTTTAAAGTCTCTACATAATCCTTTCTAGAATTGTTAAAGCATACTAAAACGAATCCTCATAATCCACTTTGTTCCATATTCATTAACTTCTATCTAAAATTTTATCTCAAATTATATATTTACCATATAATATGCATGCTTTTCTTAAACTTATATTTTCACTACTTTAAATTATATGTAAGAGACTATTCTCTTTTTTTATTTTTCAAGAAATGATAATATAGGAGAATTTTCTTAATATTAGGTTTAATCTAATTCTACTGAAGAAGCTTTAGTAGATTATTCTAAAAATGAAAGACTCAAACCTTTTTTATTCATTTTAATTCAATTTTAATATAAATATATCTAAATTAGATGATTTAATAAATCAAAATTAATATCATCAGAAATGCGTCATAATTATACTATTTTAGATAGAATATAATGAAAATATATTCTAATTGTTTTAATACTCCATATAAAACTTCATATTTATTTAAATTAATATATTATATTAAAAACTACTAGTAAAAATATATAAATATTGGAGAATTCTTTTTGTTAAAATGGAATATAATTTGAATTCTATTAGAAGTAAATCTTTTTAGTTTCATTTAGATTATTAATAATCTCATTTAATAAGAGTACTTTTATTAAACAATATATGATTAACTCTCCTTAAATACTAATAAAATATAAAGTATAAATAATTTTTAGTTTGTAATAAAAAATCAAAATCTTCTTGAAATTCAATTCAATCTTAAATAAATGTTCAAATGATATAAGTATGTTGTTTTTATTTATTTATTTTGAGAGATAAGATTTTATTAATAAGATTTTCAATAGTTTTTAGAAAATTTATAAATATCCAGCATGTCATAGATTTGTAAATATTACAAATTATGATTAATATATATTGAAAATATTTAGTTATTCAATTACTTAAATAATTCTAATAGGAATTAAAGAGTAGTCTACATACTTATTAGAATAAAAGAAGAAGTCTTTTTGAAAAAAAAAACTATTTGAATAATTAAATTGTTTATGTTTTATTGGACAATAGATTAGAAAATATTGATTCAATAGAAAAAGAACAAGATGAATTTAGTTTTATAAATTTTTTAGTATTTTAATTAAGTTATTACCTTTAGTCTTCAAATATGGGTGGAGCATGCTCTGGAACAAAACAATAAGCCAAAAAATAGAAACTACAATAATAGGAATTAAATATAGTTGATTAACCATATTTGGAAGTAAAATCTATTCCCCAAAGTTAATCATCATCAAGACCTCCTGAACAGAGAAGTGAAACTGGATAATCAGTTAAGGATCTTCTAATATTATACAAAAAATTTACAGATTTTTTAGGTTTAGTTGGGAATTTAGATCATTTACCACAACATACAAGGGAATAATTGAATAATTGTATTATTTAGAGATCTAATATAAATATTCTTATTTAGAATAGTATCAAAAGAATTATGAGAGAATAGTAAATAATCAAAAGGGTCGAAGAGAGCGATTATTATTTAATTCATAATGATGAGAAATTTGCCATAACATTTACATAAATAATGTAAAAAATATCAACCATTATATTAACTGAACTGAAAGATGACTAAGACTTTTAGGAAGCATTTCCTATGCTTATTGTTTCATTCGTAGATTTAGCCTAACAGATTAGTAATGTCATAGAAAATTTTTAAAATTTCAAAACTCTCTCGTCTAAAAAATAAATAACAAAACAATACTTTTCGTAAGAGAGCAATTATCAAAAGACAACCAATAAGATATCTTTGTAATAGTGAATATATCTATCATATTTAAATTAGGGATTAATATAATTTAATGATTTTGTGCTTAAGTATCTTCATTGGAAAATTATATAAATATATATAATATATATATTCTTTTAGGTATATTTATTAATTTTATACATATGTTCATTAAAAACTCTAATAATATTGTTTCTTTTGTATTTATTTTAAATGACATGAATGTAATTTACATCATATAGTGTACATAAATTTATATAAGTTCAAATAAATAATTGTAAGATTCAAAAAAGTGTATTAAAATTGATTAACTAATTATTTACTTCTGTAAATATATATTTATATATATATATTAAATTTAATGGATCAAACTATAACAAGCATTAATAGTTTTACAACAACTGATAGAGAATTAGAAAACAATTTGAAAGATTTACTTGAAAGAATCTTAATATAAGTAGAAAAACATATAGAAACAAAAGAAGAGTTAAATTAAATTGAATCAGAACTGAAAGATTATGAAAGTTTATCACATTTAGTTGGAATAATTAAGGTGATATTTACAAAATTGATGTTGAAAATTGAGAAGAAGATTTTGTAAGTAAAATATATTTATACTATTGATAGAAAATTAGAAAAATTAAATGATCCTACATAATTAAAATTTTAAAGAGATGATGATGAATATGAAAAATTAGAATAGACTTTGATCAAGTATGAATAAGAAATTAGAAAACATATAAGTGTATTTTATTAATTGATGACTAGATTGAATAATAATTAAAACTATATGCTGAATCAATATAAAGTAAATTAGATGAAAGTGAAGAAATACGTTAAGAATTATTAGAAACAACTAAAAATAATATTAGTGTATATATTAAATAATAAATGAATAGAAATTAAAGAGAGAAAATTAAGAATTACATGAAAAAGAGTAATCTTTAAAATAAGAACTTATTTAATTAAAATAAACTATTTGTTAACTTGAAAAAGAAAGTAAAAGAAAATCAATTGATATTAATTAAAGAGAATACCTTTAAAATTTAATTTATAAATAAGCTAATTAATCTTCATGTAAATTTGGACATTAGAAATTATTTCAAGAACAAAGATAAATAAATTCACATTCATAACATAAATAAAGTGTTAATCATATTATGAAAGAATAATTAGAAATGAGTGATTTAGTATTACCTACATAATAATCATAAAAAAATAATTAGTATAGTATTTTAGACAATGCCAATAAATAAAAAAAGTCAGACATGATCAAATCACTATAATAAAGAGATTTTAATAAAATCTATGGATAAATTATGAAAAGCAAACATAATTCATTATCATCAATCAATGATATCATGTTAAGTATTTCTCAGTAAGAAAGAAAAAGAATAGATAAAGTTTATTCTTTTTCAAAAAATAGTTCATAAAATAGTAGTGTCATATAAAGACCTAAAGGTAATTAAATAAAATAGATTTTATATAGATTATAATGAATATCAGTAGAGAAGCAAAAGTTCTAAAAAAGCTGAAGATACAATAAAGTACAAAACATTAGATTCTTTAATCAAATTGAAGTGAATTATCAATGTTTTTTTGCAATCTAAATTATCTATATAGACTTTTATTAATTATTAAGTAAAATATTAGTTATATATATCTTATGCATTAAAGAATCGATAATATATACATAATATCGTTTTTTGTTATATTTTATTATTTTTAATGTTTTATTTAATTGTAATTCTTTGTGTTACAATTTCAAATGCCTATTATGGATCTGAATATTATGCTGAATGGTAAACAGGAGTAGATAACAGTATATCAAAATAAGATCAATTTTTATTTCCAACTTATCCAATGAGATTTTAAAGTTAAGTGATTTTCTCAAGAAGATTTAGTGTGTATGATTAGCATTCTATATGACTTTAGTTGTCCATAAGTGCTATTAATGCATGAAGAAATTTAATGGAGTAGAGGAAGAAATATCAATTACCAAACATACGTTTCAGATGTCACAATATTTGGATTTAATATTAATTATGTTATATGGGGTCCTGCAGTTGTACCTATTCTTAGTGTAAGATGGGTTGCTTTAGTTGATGATTAAGTGGAAATCTAATATGTTCATTATCAAGAAAAAGATTTATATTTATTGAGCCAAGGTTTTGGAGCTAGGTCATAAGATTTCATGATATCATATTATCCTCGCTATCCAGCACCTAAAATTACAGCATTTATTGTTGGTGCAGACTTTGAAATATTTAATTCTTTATTTACAAGTGTCAGAATTCAAATGGGCATTCCTACATCAAATAGCATGGATGTCAGATTCCTCACTAGAGACTTTTGTCATGTGAGATCTCTTTATGTTGCCTATTTCATTTCAAATAATTACTTGACTTTGGCAGGATCTGTTGGTGCCTATTATTCTACTTATAATTAATTCCTAGACAATTAAAATAGACAAACTATTAGAGCCTAAAAGTTTTCTAGATTAGTCCCATCAATATATTCCTTAGATCCAGCATATAACATTTTGGCTCAAGGTATAAGCGGATTTGATATTCACAGTTATGCTGGATCAGCATATCTCAGAGTTACTGCTGAGTCAATGATAAATCAATCATAAATTTATACTCTTGTCTATGGAACAAGTATATATTATTATTTTTATTTAAGGGGGTGACACTGTATTAACTTATATGTAGGCTAGTTATATATTACATCCCCCAGGAATACCATATCATTATTATTATAAAAATTATGATTGGATTGTAACAAAAGATGATTAGATAATTCTAGAAGAGACTATTGAATAAGAAAAAAAGATTAATGAATTAAATAAAAAATGATAATTCATTCAATATTAGCATTATGTTATTATAGATAATTGAATATATCAAATAATGTTTGTGATTATCTTATAAAGATGAATCTGTTGATCTTTTTCTAAATAGAAAGGATAATTAACCATATGAAATATTTGGATTTATTAATTTGATTAAAGTCTTAATAATTAAAAAATCTGTGTTCTCATTCATATTGAGTCAGGTTTAATAATAAATATAAATATTGCTATTATTTCGATTACAACATAAAAATTTAATTAATTGAACTATATTTCAATTTAATATTTATTAAACAAAATCTTTTTATAATTTTTATAATCTCGCTATAAAATTTTATAAGAACAACCAAGTTACAATTATTTTTTTAATTATATTATTTAATTAATCAATATTTCTTAACTATTTAATTTTCAAGTTCTTAAAATACAAAAATAACTTTTAACTACAAATTTATTTAGTTTGGTAATATTAATTATAGTCTCTTAAGATTTCAACAAAATTTATAAGTAATTTTTATATTCTTCTTTAGAATTTCTTATTTGATATTCAAAGAAAAATATTAATATTTAAATCAAGAGAAAATTTAAATAATATATCAGAAAAGATGGAAATATAAACAAATTTCAAGATATTAATATATTAATTCAATAAAGAATTATTTATTTCTTTTTCTCTCTTCATTATATGAATAAGAATCATTTATTTTTTTATCTAATTTTTGATCATTGTATAATGAAAATTCAAATGAATATAAATTATAAAATATAAATATTATAATGGATATAAGATTAAAGAGGTTTGATGTATTTGGATTATCAAGAAATTAATAATCATAAAAAAGATTGGATTCAACAAGAAGATTAGATGATAGAAGTTTTTTATAATTAAAATAATATAAGCATGAATTCATAAGAACTCCTTCTAATTCAAATACATGTTAAACATAAATGAAAAAACTAAGGTTAAAACATAAACCATAAATCAATCAAAACTAGATCTTATCATATTCTTTATCAATTTAAAATATTGAATAATTACCAAATAGATCACTGGATCCAAAAGTAATCAAATTGATAATTCCCAATCATAAAAAGAATACTCAATCTCAAAAAGAAGGAATAACAACTACTAGAAATTATTATAATAATTATTTTGCTCATCATGAATAAAGTGAAAACAGAGTAAATTTAATATTAATCTTTATAGGCATCATTTCCTTCAATAAAATTTAAAAATAAGATTGTCAAATCATAATTTGAAGCTAATTTATAGTTCTATAAAAAATAACAGAGCATACCAATTTAAGTTAAATTAGCCAATCAAGATGATATTAAAAGAGAATTTTAATCAATAAGAAATAGATATGCTAAAAGCAGAACAGAACTAGAAAATTATGCAGATTAAAGTAAACCATTTCTTAGAACCTCAAAGTCAAAGTTTCATTTGTCTTAAAAAAGAAATTAAAATTAGAAACAACATAATAAAAATAATAATAATTCAGTTGAGTAATATAATTTTATAATATTAGATCTTAAACAAATTTAGATCTTGATTATTTGGAAGACTTTTAGAAATATGATAAAAATAATTTGAATCAACTTAGAGATGAAGTTATTCAAAACTCTTGATATCATCTTCACTAGATTTTATTAAGTATAATCTATACATTTTTTATTCTAAATTAATTTAATCTATTATCTTTCATTTATAATTATTAATGTAGCTACAAAAATAATTTATTTAATTAGATTATATAATATATAATCATTTTAAATTTCCATAAAGTTATAATGCTTCTTAATACCATTATTATAACCATATTAAATAATTGGCTATATTTTATTTTAATTATGTATTCTTTTAGTCAATAAGTCCAGTTGGTTATTAATTTTATTATTCATATTAATAAAAGGGTAGAGGTGTACGAGATCTTATTGATAAATTATAGCTTCTTTAACTAATTGGATTTTAATCATTATATTCCATATAAATATTTGAAAACTATTCTAAAATTTATTTAATAAATTCTATTTCTTATTAGTGTTCTTCATCATTTGGAATCAAATTCATAGCTTTTACTAAATGTAATTATGCTATAAAACAATAATTATCAATTGTTTGATCACATTCATAAATTCTCTATGTTAAATTATGAGTATTACTTTTTTAAGAAATATAATGATTTATTTAATTTGAGATTATAATTCAATTTATTCTGAAAATTATTAATAAATAACCTTCTATTAATTTTAAAGTTTTTTTATAGTAGTTGCTAAAGAATTTTATTCATTAATATTAACGAGATTATCATCATCACATTCCTATTGTTAAATTTTGAATGATTTAATTTTATGGGAACTCACAATATTAATAAGATCTTCCCTCTTATAATTTCAAATAGTTACTTTTTATTTTTGTTGAAATAAGGATGTTTAAATACATATGTTTTTTTTCCAATCCTTTATTTTTGAAATCCATATTGGTTCAATTATCTGAGAAGAAATAGACTATCATTACCTTGAGAAACTCAAAAAATTAGATTATTTGTAATGAACACTTAAGACTGTTTTAACCAATTTGTCAATATCATTAATTAAAATAGCATCTCCATCTTCATTCCAATTAATGGTATCACTTAGTTCATTCTAAATAATGATAAAAAGTTACCTCCAAAATATTAAATAGTTTACTAACAAACTTTGGACATTTCTTCTAAATCATTAGCTAAAGAATTTTATATTAATTAAATAATACATTATATTAATAGTTTCTAAGTATAATGTATATTGACTTATTCAAAATTTATAGTCTAGATTCTAATCCAAAAAACATCTTCAAAGAAAGGAATTTCATTTTATGTTGATGAAGATCAATTTTTATTCTAAATTAGATTAATCTAAATTAATTATGATATAGTTTCTGAAAAACTCTTAATTAATAATTAAATTATATATAAAATACATTTTAGAATTAAAGCAATAATGTTCAAATTAAGCCAAAACAGAACTAAAATTAGTATATATACTTACATCTCTTTATTTTAGTTTCATATTATTAATTTATTGAACTTGTGCCTTATATTTTCTACCATCAATTTATAGTCTTCCAATTTCTTACAATTCCTTTTGCTACTTCTCAATAAATTACTATAACTTTTTTTATTACTAATTCTAAATCTCTTACATTTTAATTGGCTATTATGTTTTTTCCTCACTCATCATAATTACCCCCACCATATAATCATTTAATTTTTTTCTTAAATTTAGATTATCTTATAAAATATCAAGAATTTTTGATAAAATCTCATAGCTTTCATCACTAGAATTAATCTTAAATCCCAATAATTCATTTTTAATATATGATAATTTCTCATTGCTTTATTTAATAATATTTGCCATTCCAGATAATTAATTAGTCTTTTTAGCTATTTCAGCTATGTTACAATCACACATTTCTCTAAAGAAATGAGTTATCTTCTCCATAAACTTCTCCAAATCAACTTTATTCTATTCTAAAAACTTTTTCTTTAATGTAATTTTTCTATCAGTTTCTACAATCCTTAATAAAGAAATAAGATTCTATAAATCCTTTGCTTTTTCTCTCTATTTACCTAATTCTTCTTATTTTCTTAATTTAGTTTCTTCTGATTGATTCTATCTTTTTAATAAATTATTCTTAATATTATCATTTGCTTAAAATAATTCTTTAATTCTCTTTTATTCTTTAATTTTCAATTCATGTTCAGCTGATTTACCTTAATCACTTCTTTCTAATTTTCTAACCTACATATCAACCTCTTCTCTTTAATTATTCAATTCATTTTCTTTAGCAAATATATCAACTAAATTCATAATCAATTAAGAATTTACATAATTATTATTTTATACTCTACAAATCTTTTTCTAATTATAGTATTTCTTCTTCAGTCTATTTTAAAGTATTCTCTTAAGAATTAGATTATCCAGTAGCTGATTAAATTTAAGTTTAAATATTTTTAAGTAATTAATCTTCACCCATAGTTTTTTCAACAATAGCAGGCTATTTGGCTGATAAACTCTATTACTCATTTAATTTTTATTATAATTTCATTATTTCTTCTTAAGCTTCTTTCAATTACATATTTACAACCTAATTTTCTTACTCTTTTGTAATATTGTCAATATTAAATAAATAACCTAGATTATTTTTTCCATATACTATCTTCACTTCTCTTGCATTGTCCCAAGGTGTTTGTATCACCTATTATGGTGAAGAATGATCTCCATCTCCCAAACCAAGTTAATTATTTGAATTATCACCCCAAGCAAAAAGACTTCCTTTTTTTGTTATTGCATAAGAGGAATCCCCTCCAGCATAGATTTAAACGACAGGAGACTTTTTGAAAAATTCTACCTCTTTTGGCAATGAAACAGGATCTAAGTCATTCTATCCTAGTTATCCTGCCTCATTTCTTCCCCAACTATAAACAACGCCATTTACATCTAATGCCAAAATATGATTATTTCCTGAACAAATTTACATAATTTTTGTTTGAAAAGAAATAATGCCAGGTCTAGAAGCTTCAGCTTACGTAGCACATGTTCGACCCAACTCTTCACAATTATTACCCCAAGAATATACTTATCCTGATGCTTTTTAAAGATATATAGATATATATTTATACTTGATAATAGAAACGTGTTAGCAATTGTTGTACACATATTCAAAATGTAAACTCCTTTTGGACAAAGATTATAAGGAGCAATTACACCATTATTTTCAGAATTCTCATCATATAGTTTTATTGTTTAGGTTTCATAAATCTAAGTGGCTCCAACTTTATTTGCCATAACAAAAAAGTGTTATTATTATTATTATAAATCCTATTAAGAAGAAACATAAAATCACAAATTAAATCATTAAAAAATTATTTGTACTTATATTATTGTATCTTCAATTTAATATTGAAAAATAACTTGGAATATAAATTAAATCACTCAATTAAAGATGACATTCAATTAGATGATCATATTTTACATAAGATATATGTGTTATTAAAAGTGAATTATTAAAATGAAAATTATGATATTTTTATTTGTTGATAATAATATTCATATTCTTATATTTGTTAGATAATAATATTCATATTCTTATATTTGTTATATTATTGACTTTTTAACTAAGGTTACTCAAAATTGAATCTAAATTCTTATTTAAACAATGATTGAAATTGTTAAATTTTTTTGTATTTTTAATAAGGAATTATAATTATTATCATTATTAATTGCCTTTCTTTTCATTATTGAGAATGTTTCAATTTCTTTATAGAAAATTAAAAAGTGTATATTTTCCATTCATATATGTATCATTTTGGAGAAAAAACTATCTCTAAAATAATCCTAAAGTTAAAGTAGGATTTATCCTATATCATATAAATCGAGATTTTTATACATCATTTTTGTTTAATGGTTTACAATTGTTACTTAAGATCAATTTAAATTTATTAGATTTCTTTATTTTAATTTCTTTTATGGAATCCTATCAAAGAAGTAATGTAACCAATTTATTATTTAATTTAAGTGCTTTAACTTTTATGATAAATTAGCATTTAAATGTTAATATTTAAAAAGGTTTACATTATCTTTTAATTATGATCAAAGTTCATTCAATAATCTTGAAATATTCTAATAATAATGTCATATAAGAAATATTATAAAATGTCACACTATAAACCATTAATAATTGTAAATTACATTTTGTAATTTAATTCAGATAAATAATTATGAACGATAATAATATTAGTGATCCTTTCACTTAAGCAAACATTTAAAAGGCTGATGCATTTTTGGCTCAATTTATTGATATAAAATAACTACTTCCTATAAAGGAAGGATTAACAAAAGAGATGATTGAATACTTCAATTAGTTTAAATTCTCAACTTAAATGTAGATTGGACCCTTAAGTTATCAAGAGAGATAAAAAAAAATTTAAAAATATAGACAAAAAAGAAATACTAGATAGTTTTCTAAAAAGAACCATTATGATTATAGAACAAAAAAGGCAAAATCTCGTTAAAGAGAGAAAGGGAGATTTGTTTCAAATAACAAATGAAATTTTATAACAATGTATTCATCAATTACCACATCTTAATTAATTTATATATAAAATGAGTATAAAGGGCAAGTTATTTTTATCATAAAAAGTTGACTTAGGGTATAAGTCTTATGAAGACAGTATACATCCTGCTACCACTATAGCTGAAACTGGTAGTGATTTTTAATTTGAAAGTAAAATCTAATAGAGTACTAATAAATCTATTTAAATGAAACCTAATTCATTACATTCAATTCGAAATACCTTTTGATGGTAATATAATTATTGTTATATAGAGGTTAAAAATGAAGAAAGGAAGAAATATAAAGATAATTAAATTGGACCCAAAATATGAGGATGATAAAAAAGATAAGGGTGTAAAATGATCTATTGTTGGTAAAACTGAGCAATTCTTGGCAGTCAGAAATAAGAATAGATAGAGAGTTGTAATAAAATAAAGAAAATAAGAAAGAGATGATTCATTTTCTGATGATGTTCCATCTATTAAACCTTAAGTCTTATAACAATCTTAATCATAAATGTCTGGAATGGGTTAATCAAGGAAAACTCCAAAGCAACCTAGAGGGGAATTTAAAATATTACCAAGATAAGATGCATTAGTTAAATTAGTTGAAGCTAAACCCAGAATTGAAACTGATAAAATAGATAACATTAAACAAGAACTCAAACTTCCTCTTCATATTAGATATACTATTACAAGAGATGGAAGAATTTTTGAATCATTTGATTAATTGAAAGAGAAATGGAAATCTGTTAATAATTAAATTGTATCAAATTGTGAAAGATCTCCTACTGAAACTATATTAATTAGATCAGATAATTATAGAGAGATAGAAATATTAAATTAAATATTATTGAATCTTGGAAAAATGAAGATGAAAAAATAATGATAGATTATGGTATCTTAGATTAAGATGGTATGATTGTAAGAATGATAGACCTCCATTTTCATTAATAACTACATAAAGACCTAAAAGTATTCCCATGACTAATAGATTAATTAATAGATATGTAAAAGATTACAATGCTGAACATTTAAATTAATAATAAAATTTTGTATTGACAGATATATAGAGTAATTTCAACACAAAAATTATTGATAATCCATATTAATAGGTTGAAAAAGTTATACCAAATAATATGAATATTTAAAAAATTTCAATTTGTATAGTAAAAAATTAAACTAATAATTTGATGAAAAAATAAAGAATAAATCAAAAAAGTAGATACAAATGAATATTAGAACTTATAGGTGAAAATATTTATAAAAAAGAATTAAATTTTATAATGAAAGAATAATAATAGGAATACTAATATTTTGAAGAAAAACAAGATGAAGAAGAAGTATATGTTGATAATTGGAATAATTAATAATTATCTAAAATGAGTTAACAATTAATATAGCATATCTGAATCTACAAATTCTTTATAATAAATGACTTAATTAATTTATTTAAAAATTATAGTATATATAATCAATTTAGTATTAATAGTTATTGTAAACTATAAAAAAACTATTTGTTATTTAATGATTAAAAAATCTTTAATTTTCAATATGAAAGATTCCTTAAAATTATACATAGCTAATTCAATTTTATCATATATTATATATCAATCTATTGTCTTAACAATTTTAGAAGAACTACTGCTAATCCAATCAGGAATTAACTTTTTAATTTCATCATTGGTCATTTTATTAGTTTCAACTAATGATAATTATTAAAAATAACTTACAATTACTAAACTCAAACAATTCTTAAATTTTGAAATTATAGATTTCTTGAAGTTATTTCATTTAATGTATATCTCTTAATTAATCAAAATAAGGATGACATAATGCTTGAATTGGAGTAAATCTTGTTTTCGGACAATACACAAGTAATTTAGAAACTAGATCAGTAGCCAAATTATCATTTGTTTTTATTACCTAAATATTAAAATTAAATACTCTTTTCCAATCCCTTGCTTTAATTTATGGAAATTTATATTATTACATATCATATTCTGAATTCATACTTAATACTTGAGTCTTGTTTGGAGTTCCAAGTACTTTAATGATCTCAATTAACTAATCAACAGCACTATCACCTAAAAATAGAGGTTCTCCATTAAATAACTCAGCTATCACACAACCAACTGACCAAACATCAATTTAAGTATCATAATTCACAGCTCCAAATATTAATTCTGGAGCCCTGTAACATCTTGAACAAATGTAAGAAATATTTGATTCTGTTTTTACAAGTTTTTTTGCACTCCCAAAATCACATAGTTAAAGTTTATGATGATTAGGATTAACTAAAATATTATGAGGCTTTATATCTCTATGACATATGGATAACAATGATATATAACTAAATATTTTATAATTTCTTACTAAATTGATCTTAGCAGTTAATATGAATAAATTTTCACTAATATTTCAGGCATTCTGGCTTATGCTTATCTAAATGATTTATTGTAAGAATATAATGATTCTGGAAAATAATCCATAACGACATTCAAATATGTCTCATCTTTATTATCTGAAGGTGTGAAATAAGCATACTTTAGTTTAACTACATTAGGATGATTTAATTCTTAAAGTATTTATAACTCTCTGTTTTTGTATCTTTTATCCTACAATACTTTCTTAATTGCCACTATTTCTCCTGTTTCATTTACTTTTGACTATAAATCTTTATTTATTATATACTTTATAGACTGTACCAAACGACCCACTGCCAATGGCTTTAATATTTTAGTAAGTATAAGTTGAATAATCTTGTCTAGTTGTCTTTGAAGGGATCAATAATGATTTAGTATTGATTTTATCTATTCCTTAAGGTTTCTAATATTTTTTAACAGCTTCAGATATTAGTTTAGTTTAGTTCTCATTTTTTAAACATTATTGATATTAAGTATTAAAATCTTTCATTATAGGTTTTTTAGCTGGTTTATTAAAAGATATAAGTTTATTGCGATGCTTGAAATTGGATATATCTTAGAATGTCTGAATATCTTATTCTACTTCATCATAATCATTTGTCTCAGTTTGAACCCTTCTAGATAAGTTTGAATCACTAGGCTATGTGTTATAGTTATTATTAATACTTTTCCAATAACATTGGTTTATTTTTTTGCACTTTTTGATGCACTTTAATACATACAATTTAACGATTTAATTTTTAAACAAAATAATAATAAAATTTTAATTAAGGAAATATATTTCTTTGTAAAATAGTTTAATCATTTTATACTTAGAAACTAAGTCCTTTTTGATTAAGACAATACTGATAATTGTTCTAAGAATTTCAATTCACCTATTTATTTCAAATTATATAAATTACACAGAAAAATTTTAAAAAGATAATTCAAAACATATATAATCATTTTATTCATTCTTACAAGCTCTCTGATCTTGAAGAAAATATTCTATTTACCAATTTAATTTGAGCCTTTTAATTTATAAATGATTTCGAAGAATATTTTCTTGTTGGTTATGTTGGTTATTTATTTTATTATCCAAAAGGATCTTTCACCTTTATTATATATTTTTTGCCTTCTAAACTATTAGAAATTTTGTTTATTCCAGAATTATTCTCCATTTATTGAGTTGTTTAACTACTATATTCTTTAAGAGTTTGCTTTCTAATGTGGAAACTAGATTTTTAATTTTGAACATTAAAAGAATTTATTGAATGCTTTATATTCAAATCCAAAATTTTAGGAATATTACTACTACTAAGTTCTTGGGAATCTTATGTGCTTAATCTAGTACTTTGTTTAGTACTTTATTTTGTGCTTTGATGACTATAAATATTATCTTTTTTATAATCATTCATTTAATGAATAGTAGTTTTTCTGCAAAGTACATTTTTTTGAAGTATTTTTGTTTTTGATAATATTGATTTTATAGCTTCTAGATTTTATTAAGGTAAAGAGTTTTCCCTCTTTCTTTTTTAAAAGTGTTCATTCATTTTCCCAATCTATGGATTAAAGAATTAAGCGGTCTTTTGAAAACCTTCTTATTTTCCAAAACTCTATTCAAAAATTTTCATTTCAAATTTAATATTAATATATGATTAACAATAAATAAATATATATATAATTCTTAATTACATGAAAAATTTAAAATGTTATAAATTTATTCTTAAATTATTTAACATTATTTAGTTTTACTTAACCCAGTATTAATATGAAATTACTCTATGACACCTATTTAATTTATTAAGTACATTATATTTTTATAATTATCTATATATTAATTACAATAAAAATCATAACTATTCTTAACTTTCATATTTCCTTATTTTTCTTCTTAAATCTTTTCTATTTGATTCTGTTCAATTTATTGATTAAAAATTGCAGGAAAAAGTATCATCTAGTTTTCTTTTCTCTTGAACTAGAGTTCATTGTTACTCTTAAAGCTACCCAAAAGCCCAATTCCTAATATCATCTCAGTTTCATATAATCTTTAGACTTTTAAATTATTTGTATAAAATCCAGAAATCTATTAAAAAAGCTATAAGATTATGATGACATTCATCCCACTTTTTCTATCTTTTTCAAATTAATAACTTTTCCACCTATCAACAATATTATTTAATATATATGATATGTATTTAGTGACTTAAATACTACAAACTTTTGCATCTTTAATTCTCTTGTACTTAAAATAGAAGGTTGTGATTGCCTTTTAAAAATTATAATTTAATTGACTCTAATATCATTTAAAATTTTGATAAATATATTTCAAAATCCTCTATCAGTTTCACTGTCTTGAGAATAACAACAGAAAATCTTATGAAATATTGAGTTCCCACTTGATTGAGATTTTTTTTTTTATTTATCTTATTATTCTTACTACTTTTTTTATTTAAAAAAGTTATCATAATAGCTAGCAATATCTTAACTATTATTAGTTTTTTCTTCAATATCTTCAGGCTAGATTTTATGTTTTTCAATTGATTAACTTTTTTTTTATTCAATTGATTAAGACTTAGGTATATGTTCTGGAGGCAATTCAGTTACTTTTTCCAAATCCTTAAATTCCCCTTTTAAATTTAATAATAAAAAATCAATCTTCTTAATCCATTCATCTCTAATTTCTGATGAAGTTGTTCTAAACTTAAATGTTTTTTCATCTTTAGTGTAAATCTAATAAATTAAAATTTTCTTACATGAAAGTCATTCTCCTTTCCAATTACATTTTTTATAGAAATTAACAATATATAATTTTCAGAGTCATTTTTCTCTTATTATGCCCAAATTAATGAATCTTTCTTTAAATATACAATTCTTTTAAACCATTTATCCTTTCTAATTCTTCTACTAATTTTTACTTCCAATTTTTCTTGTAATAAAACATCTTCTAATTTCATACCTAAATCTTAATCCTCATTTTCAATTTATTAAGGAGTAAGTGTAGCTTTATATTCCTTTATAATTCTGATAGTAGTAACCCATGATCGAATCTCTTCTAATGATTCAGAAAAAAAATGATATTGACGTTCCTTATGTCGAAATTTAAAACCATAAGTCACACTATGGCTGAATTATTTCAAAAAGGCTAAGTTTCTATCAACATTCATCAATCCATAATCTTCAATTTGATTTGCCTTTAATTCCCCTTTAAAGCTGCTTTAATCATTTCTAAAATCATATGCAAAATAGTATATATGATCTAATTTAAAGGGATCTGGGAGATCCGATTAACTGGGCCCTTAAATTTAAGCATCATCACCTAAAAGAGAAATAGAGGAAATAATAATAAACCATCTCCTCTTAGCTTTTGTAAGTGAAGCAATTTTTCCCTTTTTATACAAAAATCCACATTTCACAAATTAAGCAAATTTTTGTGAATCAAACTTATCAAGATATGCATATAATCCTTTTGATACCATAACTTCTTCATTCTTTATTTCATTTTCTTAAAACTTATCCTATGTTTGTTATTTCTCCTTGTCTATCATAATTGATGCTTTTGTTTCAGAATCTATATCTTTCCAAAATGCCTTCTGAGACAATTTTAAGCTTTCTGACCCTTTAGAATGGAAACTGCTTTTTGAATCTTAGACTGATCCTGAATTTTACTAATTTAAAAGTTTTTCTTAAAGATATGCAATAGTAGAAGTCCATAATTCTCTAGCACTACTTGATTCTGCTCTCAATAACATTTATCTTTCTTTTAATTCAAGAACAAATTCCCTTTCAGATCCTTTGATTATAGCAATTGATTTAATTGATTCTATAGGTATTACACCTTAAATAAATTTCTTAAATAATGTACCTTTTGGTTTAACATCTTTACTCAATATTTTTTTCTTTGAATAAACTAAATATTACCCTTTATCTCTGACAGCAAAATGTCGTTTTTGGAATCCTTTTAGCTTAGAAGGACTTTTTTTTTCTATATATCCTTCAAGTTATAATGCTTATTGATATTTTGAATCCATTTTATATATAAATTATTAAAAAAATCAAATAAAAAAGTTGCTTATAGATATGCATTAAATATATTAATAATTACTTTATCATTACAATTTTCTTTAAGATATATATATTTAATGGAATGTATTATATATAAATAAATCCTTGATTAATTATTATTTTATTATTATTCCTTATAGTAAAAATATGGAAACAGTTACTTAATAGATAAAACATTTGAATTAAAAAAACCAAGAACTTGCTGCTCTTGAAAATCGATTGATTTAATTAAAACAATAACTTAATTTACAAGAAGCTAACAATAATATTGTATAGGCAAAAGTAGACAAGATTGTATATGCTAAGAAATAGAAATTTGAAGATTAAATGGAAGTATAGATTGATGACAATTAAATAGCTTAGTAAAATAATGGAAGCAAACAATATAAATGATAATGGAATACATAATTTCATCAGATAAAATAAATAATAATAACAAGAGGAAACAAAGAAAATGAAATAAGATATGTTAGATGAGAAATGCTTGAAATCTGCATTAGTGAAATAATAATTGGCATTATAGATGTATTAAAATAAAAAGAAAAGAGAAGAAGAACTTTTAGAAAAATAACAATAATATGCAAGAGTAATTTGTTTTTTTTAATGTGATAGATCTCAGAATGGGAGTTTAATATGAAACAAGATTTAGAATAAAAGAAAGCAGAAAAAATAGAAAGAATTAGATAAGAATAAAATTTATTTAAAGAATAAATTGCAAAACGATTGTAAGAGTAATAAACATTATGCGATTAGATGAGTAATGAAGAATAAAGATTACTTAAGTAAATTTTTGACTTAATTAATTTAAGTAAATTAAAAGATTCTCAAGTACATGGAACTACTTTAAAAAATGATTTAATGACTGCATTAAATTTAAGCATTAAAGAATATAATAATATATCAGGTTTAAGACCATAAAATTCTAAGTCTCAAAGTTTATAGAAATTACCTAAAGAATCATAAAATAGTCCTTATGCTTAATTACCAACAATGTTATAAATGAAAGTAAGTGGATAATTAAGTAATTACTTAAATAGTAATTCATCATTTCGTGAATCTTTAATGAAAGAATATTAATTTTCACTACCTTCTTTATGTAAACCATCTTTTAATGAATAATAACAATAAGTAGATCGATTATATCAATCAAAAACATTAAAGAATAGCAAATAAGATTTATAATCTATTCTCAACTATTGTGATAATAAAAGCAAATCTTCTTAAACTAAAAAGAAAGCTAGAATGAATTAAAGTGATATTCTATCTTCAGATAATCATTCTATTTCCTCAAAATAAAATCGTAAAATATCTCAATAACAATCAATTAGCAAATAATAATCAAAAGAATTAGATAAAAGCACTTAAAATTAATAATAATGATATATTTTATTGAATATTAATTAATATTATAATATCACTATATAATCATGGAAATTAAAATTACGTATTAAATAAATAAATTATGTAATCTGTAATTGGATCAATTGATTCTTCAACAACAGGTACTAGATTCACTATTTGCAATTTGAATGGTGAATAACTAAGTTATCATTATATAACTCATAAACAAATTACTCCTCATTAAGGATGGTTAGAACATGATCCAATAGAGATATTAAATAATACAATTGAATGTATTAAATAAGCACATAAGAAAATGAATGGAGTACATAAATTAGTAACAATTGGAGTAACAAATTAAAGAGAAACTGTTGTTGCATGGAATAAAAATACAGCAATACCATATATGAATGCAATTGTATGGAGTGATACTAGAACACATGATATTTGCTAAGAATATTTAAATAAATATCCAAAGAATTATTTTTAATAAAAAACTGGATTGCCAATTAATACATATTTTAGTTCATATAAATTATAATGGATGATTTAAAATAATCAAACTCTTAAAGATGATATTAATTAAGGTAATGTGTTATTTGGAACTATTGATTGTTGGTTAGTATGGAATTTGACAAGGGAATAAAATCATTTAACAGATGTAACAAATGCATCAAGAACTAATTTAATGAATTTACATACTCTTTAATGGGATGATGAATTATTAAAGTAAGATTTTATATTTATATATATTAAGTTAATTTAACATTTCTAAAGGTTGTTTACCTCAAATTAAAGCATCTAATAGTAATTTTGGTACATTGAAGATTGATGAATATGAAGGAGTACCTATTAATTGTGTTTTGGGTGATTAATAAGCAGCAGCTATTGGTCATGCATTATTTCATGAAGGAGATTGCAAAAATACACAAGGAAGTGGTCTTTTTATTATGGCAAACATTGGATAAGAAATTAAAATTTCAGAATATGGTTTATTAACTACAGTTTTATATTAAAAAGAAAATGAGAAACCTATATATGCTTTTGAAGGTGCTGTTGAAAGTGGAGGTTAACTATTTAATTGGGCAAAAGATAAATTATAATGGTTTGATAATTGGGAATAATTGAGTTAAAGTACAATAAATACAGAAGATAATGGAGGAGTATATATAGTACCAGCTTTTAGTGGATTATTCACTCCATTTTGGAATTTTGATGCAACAGGAACAATTATTGGTTTAAGTTATTACACTACAAAAGATCATCTAAGAAGAGCTATATTAGAATCAGTTTGTTATAGAACAAAAGATGTAATAAAAGCTATGGAACTATCAGGAATTAAAATTAATAAGATTCATGTAGATGGAGGATTAACTAAAAATAAGGAATTAATGTAATTATAAGCAGATATCACATAAAAGAAATTAGTTTATCCAGAAATAATTGAATCTACTGCTTCAGGAGCTGCAATGTTTGCTGGAGTAGGATTGAAATTATTAACAGAATAATAGATTATTTAGAATATGAAGGTCTAATAGATTTATGAAGGTAAAAAGTCATATGATAAACAATATAAATAATGGGAATTAGCAGTTAATTGTGCATTGTAATTTAAAAAGATTGAATGAATATTGTCTATTTAATATTGTAATATGTAATGTATCAGGCTACGAGTATGCATGCACCACCAACTGCTTTTATTCTTCTTTCTGCGGTTTTGCTAAAGAATTTGGCTTTAACAACAACAGGTTAATTTGGAAGTCTACCCTTTCCAAGAACTTTGAAATAGCCAGCCTTTGTAACATCAATCACAGCTGCTTTATCTTTTGAACTAGCATATTTTTTTCTAGTTTCATCTGTTACAAGTGACCATAATTTATCAATATTTACAACTGGTTTATGAAGTGTATTCTTTTTTAAATGAAAATGTCTCATTCCAGTCTAAAAAATAAATAAAGATGAGTACTTTTTAGAAATAACCTGGATGATATTTATTGAAATTGATGCGATGATGTGTTAAACCTCCTGAAACACCTCTACCACTTGGATGTTTTCTGTGTTTACCAACTCTACCATATCCATGACATACATGTCCTCTCATTTTACGACATTTTCTTAATCTGCTGACCATTACTTTTTTATTTTAAATAAAAAGATTTTAATATGTGATTAATGTACTCATCCCATTAAATATTAAATTAACATTCAAATATATATATATTTATAAATTAAATGCTTTTTTAATGATGATTGAATTTATATTACAGAAAAATCTTGATTGAAATACATTCGCCACTCTGATTACATTTTTTTAATAAAACACAAAACGACCTGTATTTATATATTTACAAAACTGATAATTATTATCCACATTAAAATTATTTATGTAAAAAATAGCAATTGTGATTCTTAATACAAAAATCAATCAAAAGGTCTTCGATTTTTATTACAACCCAAATGTCTTCCTTATTTGTGCAGATGGTGGTGCTAACAGACTTTATGAATATAAAAAAGAAATCATTCCTAAATGCATCATAGGTGACCTTGACAGTCTCAAACCTGAAATCCAAGACTATTATTAATAACAAAATTGTTCTATCGTTAAAATTGATGACTAAGACACTTCAGATTTTGAAAAAGCATTATCTTATATATAATAATTAGATGGATTTCAACGTATCATCATCATAGGTGGTTTAACAGAGAGATTTGATTAAACAATTAATTCCTTACATACTTTGGTTAAATTTAATTTTACTGGTGAACTAATAAGTGATTACTCCATTGTTAGATATTTTAATCAAGGAATTCATACTTTCTAATTCTCTGAAATTGAATAATCTAAAGGAATTAGTTTATTTCCATAAGGAACTTAAGCCAGAATCAATACAAAAGGATTAAAATGGAATGTGACATAAAATAATCCCCTTATACTAGGTAAATTCTTAAGTACATCCAATGAGGCTATTGAAAAGTAACTTGAATTTGATTCCCTTGATAACTTTTTCTTTGTGACTTAATTGAAAGATGAATACATCTGAATATATTTTTTCACATTAATAATTAACTAAATAGACTATGTATGTGATTCTGCATTTTTTAAATATATAATTTTTTCATTTTTCTATTTTTCAAATAATTTTTTAATTTAAAATTCATTATCTTAAATGGAATTAGTTTTATGATGATCTTGTATTGTTTGTTCCCTTTTTTGAATTCAATATATTATTGAAATCCATATAAAACTTAAAAATTAAATTGAATGAATTTAAAATTCTTATAAAGTCTTAGTTAATTAATATTTAATTTTTTATGAGATAATCAAAAATATGTTAACAACCAGAATGTAAAAGAATTCTTAATTCTCCTGATGAGAAAGGACCAAGAATTAGGTGTAAAGATTGTCATACTAAAAGTTTTGAGAAAAGCATAAGTGATATTTAATAGAAAAAGATTGAATTATTAATAAAGAAAGAATAATTATAGAAGGAATTTCAAGACTATTATAATGAAAATAAATAAAAATGGGATGCAGGTGTAGAATAAAGTTTAAATGCTATTAAAATCGGTTTATAAAATGAAAAATATTAAAAATTACAACATACTATTAATATTAGGAAACGTACTTTGGCAAAATAATAAGAAGAATTAGATGATCATAAAAAATTAATTGATAAATTATAATTGTTTTCTAAATCTATTTAAGAGAAATATTATAATTTGAAACAAAGTCTATAAAAAAAATAAAATGAGATTTAAAAGAAAGAACAATAATATAAATTTAGATAATATATAATTTTTGCTTAGTTGCCATTTCTATTTGATAATCATATGATTTACAATTAGTATAAAATAAATGAAGAAATTTAAGAAATTGTTTATGATACAATTTAAGAACTTGTATTACCTATGCGTGATGATATATTAATAAGCACTAGTTTTTTTAATATAGATTATGAATAGTTGAGATTGTCAACAACAAAAATTAATACTAAAAATGGTGAGATATGTTTAACTTTAAAGAAAAGTCCAGTTTAATGGAAAGAATACTTTCATGATAATGCAGAATATTATGAAAATTTTATTACTTCAATTATAAAAGTATATAAATTAATATACTATATGGGAAATTTGTTTAATGTAGTATTGCCTTATGTAATTTATATTGATAATCGTGGTTATCCATAATTTCTGGAATATCAAATATTTACATATAAAAGATTTTCAAATTTAATGGATCTAAAGGAATCATCACTTAGTTAGATGTAGATTAATATTTATTATTTAAAATATTACTTTAATTTGGATATATAAGATAAACTTTATTCATTTTTTGATATAATTGATTTGCTTTAATCTTATTATGAAAAATTTGGGTTTTAAAAATATGATATATTCAAAAATTTAATTTAAGATTATATTCCATCAATTAAAAATCCAATTAATAAATAATAATATTCTAATTAATAGAAACGGAAACCTATTCCTATAAAATTAGTTTAAACTTAATGTCCTAAATTTCTACTTTAGTATCAAATTTCAGAGTAATAAATTAGCAACAAAATGGACAATTCTTCTGAATTCTCAGATGTAGAATTTATCCAATGATATGATTTTTAATAATTTAATTATTAATAATAATAATACAGTTATACTCTTTTCAAATATTCAATAAGTTACAATAAAATTTATTAATTTTAAAGAATCATTCATCAATAAATTTAAGATTTAATATACTACAATCATCACCTTTAACTCCAACAATGCATTCACAAATTCCATTCTTACAAATACCATTATTAGAACAATCATTTAAACAAAATATTGTTGAACAATCTTCACCTCCCCTTTTATCATCTTATTTACATCTACATTAAGGTGTTGGATAATATTAAATACAAGATCCTTAATTTGAACAATCATTTAAACATTTTTCATATTAACTACAATCATCACCATTATATCCATCATCACATTTACATTTTCCATATTAACAAGTACCATGTCCTTAACAATGTACACATATTCTCTCAAATAATAAATCATTAAAACATATACTACCAGGACATTGAAAATCTGGACTTTAACAATTATAACCATGATAATCATCTTAACAAACATAAATACCATATTATTAACTCTTTGCATTTTATAAGTCATTTTAACTATAAAGGATACTAGATGAATTTAATAGAAATGTTCTGTTATCATAAACAATCATCTATTTAAATGTAGATCCAAAATTTAATTATTCATAATTATTATACCATTAATAATCATAATAAAAGAAATATGTATTATCTGCAAAAAATCCTTCTATCTTTATTTCTGGTAAATATTATCCAATTGGAGTATTTATAAATTTAATCATTGAATCAACTGTTGTTTCTTACCAAATCAATTCATCTAAATAATAAATCCATGATTCATTTTAATTAATATTATTAGAATCTTTTCCATAAAATAATTTAATGCAATTACATTCATCTACATAAACAATAACACTATTTTATAAGCATTTTGGAATGTTTGAGGATGAACATTAAGAATTATCTTAAGAAGATTAAATAATATATTTATATCCTAAATTCTTAACTTTTTATAGTTATGGAAAATTAGATGTGAATTAAAATTCTTCCATATTTCCATCCCATAATTCTAATGAAACACTTAATTTTTATATAAAATTATTAGGCAATACTGAAAAGGTAATTTAGTTATTTAAAAGATCTTATATATTATATTTATACAATGTATTTCTTAATTTTGAATCATTTAATCCACCAAAAATATACATAAATTAATCATCTCTAGTTAATGAATAATTTGTAAATTTATTTTAATGTTGCAATAACATAAAAGAATTCCCACAAGTATGAGGCAAAGAATATATCAAAATCTATTCATTAAGTACACAAATAAAATAATTATTACCCTAAGAATTTTCATATAATACACTTTAAATTCCAATCTCAGATGAAATTAAACAAATTGCAAAATAAGAATCTAATCTAAATATAATTAAATCATTTTATTCGCATTCTCTTTAAATTGAACTATGAAAGATTTAACATGTTTATATATTTTCTCTCACACTCTCTTATTTCCATGCAATAGTTATTTTTATAATTAATAAAAATATCATTATTTTTATATTAAAGAATACTCATAAATTGAGCTTAAATTTTAGCAATGAGTTTTTATGATATACTATTTAAATAATCATTAAAATTATCTAATTTTTAAAGTTCCAATATTAATCTAATTTATATTGTTTTATTAATTTTTTTTCATTTCTATCACAAATATGTAGTTTTTAATATTTAAGTGATTACATATGAAAAATATAAAGAGGAAATTTAGTATAAAAATTAATTCAATATTCAAGTTTTGTTTTTTTTCATTTTTTCTTATGTTTAACAAGGTTTCTCACATTCTGTATGTGTACAATGATGACGTTTAACTACTTATTTACAGCATTTGCATTCTTTTTCTTTGGATTCTCTTTTTTTCCTCTTTTTTTCTTTTTATGAATCAGATTAACTATCTAAAACAAAATCTTCATCTTTTTACATTAGATCTACAAGATTAACTCTAACAGGTAAATCAGCTATTTATATATTATTGATGATAAATACGTGAATTTTTGACTTTGATAGCATCTAATAATTTAGTGATTTAATCATTTGGTAATCTTTCAAACATTTTAATTAGATCATCACTTACCTTTCTTGAAATTTTGATTTATCCATTTTCATCATTTAATTTAGTTTTCTTTTTTATTAATTCATCTCCACTTTCAACATTAGTCAAACCTAATTAATTACTTCTCCTTTTATTAATTAAAATTGTACTTATTTTCAAGTTTAGATGAACCTGATTGAAATTCTGATGATTCTTGACTTTCACTCATTTTTAATAAAAATTTATATTTATGAAAATAATTAATATTGTTTACTATTCAATAATATCAATATTAATTTTATGGAAACTAATTTCATAAAATAATTAAATTATTTTGAATAATTAATTGGATCATAAATTTTCAATTAAAATAATATTTATCTAATATTCTTTATGAATACAATTTAAATAAATCATTATTTTATATATTAATTAACACTAAATATTATGATTTTACATAGATGTTATTTCTTAACAAAATCATTTTTTAATAAATCTTGCCTTTATTAATTCTACTCTTAATCGTTTTTATTAATTAATAGAAACATTTGGCATAAATGATTTATAAAACATTTTTATAAATTTATATTCCCTCTTTATATTCAATACATAACCAAATTCATTAAATATTATAAAATAAAGGCATATTCCTATAATATCAGTTATTCTATATTAATTTAATATAATTACAATAATATTAGACTAACTTAATCATGCTTTTCAAGTGTTTCAATCGAGATTTTAACCCAAATGTCCTTTGCGAATGTGTAATAATCAAAAACGAAATAATATAGCTAAATTATATCAAAAAAAATACTTTATTAAATTAGTATATTGTTGAATATGTAATATTTTCGTATCTTTCATCATTTGGATTTAACACTTTTTAAACTAATTTAGATAATAAATAATCATATTCTCTAATTCCTCTAGTTAATGCTCCATTAATAAGAAGTTCACATTTTTCAAGTTTTATATCATCTTAAAAAGAATATTATATATATATACTATCTCTATTGCAAATATTATTATCAAATAAATAATATATTTCATCAATATTAGATTCATAGAATACTGGATATTCTGATGATATTTATTCAAAATAGAATTAAAGAATTATTTAAGCATTTTTATCATTAAAATTATAATCTACTTATTTTTAGCTAGTAAATATTTCTTTAATAGCAGGTAAAACCCAAGCATTTTAAGTATTAAACATAAATTAATTCTTATTAAATAACTCTATATTTTTTAAAGTATAATAAATTGTAATAACTCCAGCAATACTAATTAAAGTTATTAAAAGTAGATTTAATATTATTTTAACAACTATTTTCTACACAAATATAAAAACACTTTACTTTCAAACTATATTATAATGAAAGCTACTAAAATTTAATTATTGATTTATTATCTGATTTCTCTTTATGTTTTTTTTCTATATCCAAAATACTTTTCTCATTACCATATCTACTACTACTTTTCCTTCTTAATGTTGTTTATCTTGAATGATATGATTTGTTTCTTGGGCTGAATTATTCTAAATCTCCATCTATAAAATTATTTATAATAATAATTTACATTCATTATTTGTTACATAATAAAACTGATTTATAGAAGTGCTGATTTTTTCTATGATTGCAACCTTCTCTCTATAAGGTATCATTGCTTAAACTTTAAATAAAACCTTTAGAAATTTTAATAAATTATACATTATATTGTTTCTATATTTAAAATTGAAATCTAATTAGATATAACAAATTTGATATTTAAAGAATTGTCTATAATATAAGAAATAGTATGAAATTTGAATTAGAAATTTCTTAGAATCCTAATCCTTAATTGAATAGATAATCCATTGAATTAGCTTAAATTTATTAAAATTGTGGAAGCTATTTCATTTAAATATAATAGATACCATATATTTACGAAATGTTTCTGATATTCCAAAATCTTCTTTAAATTTTTAAGATGATAGCATATTTAAAAGATATACATTAACTTAATAAACTGTTTAAATATCTAATCCACTTTCATTAGAATTACTATAAAAATTTTCATAAAGCATTTTCAAAAATTTCGGTTCCAAAAAAACAAAATACATATAATCTCCACATTTTTATGTTACATTTTATTGATATTCATAAAATTATTCATCTGATTCAAATCCAATTGAATCTCCTTTTGTTAAATCTTAGTAAGTATAATTTCTATTAAATAATTCTATATCTATTTAAGCATTATAAGATTCTGCTACAATTATTTGATATTCATATAGATAATCCACTAAATTTACCTAAATATTAATTATTATTTTACTGATTATACTATTGTATTTTAGTTATAAATAAATGAAGTAAAGAAGAAACTTAAAAATACAATCAAAATTTGCAATATAAATATTAACCTACTAATAAATTCATATTAAACAATTTATGGATTATATTTTTCTATTTTATTTGTATCCTCCTTTAAAAGATCACTATTACAAGTGATAAAATTAATGTTTTTATTCTGATCATTTTAATCAAAATCTTAATTAACTTATAATTCAGGTAATAATACTTTTCCTATTGATTCTCTATTTGAATATAAATCAAATTAATCTTAAAAAGAATAATTATAAAAAATACCATAAGTCTAAACATATTAACGTCTTGGACTTAATTGTGTATTGGTTGATCTTTTTGATTATTACTAAAGATATATATTCAATATTTTACTGAAGATATTAATTAACATAATGGAGTTTAGAATGATAAAGTAACACCACAATTCTATTAATATGATTTTTGATTTTCCTTAATCAACTCTGTTCTAACTATTTTAATTAGAATATATTTGACAGAATGTAATGTCTTCTCTAATTTTAATGTACCTTCAATTCTTAATATTTTATCAATACATTCTTCAGATTATGTATATTTTTAAAATAGTTCCTCTAATTTTAAGTATATAAAATACTTATTATTTTAAATTTCTCTTTTCTAATAATTTCTTAATAAATTTTACATCTTCTTATAAATTCACTTTTAACTATTTAATATTTACCAAATTAATTTTTCACAATTAATTATCTTTTAAATAATTCTGTATATAATGCTTATTTATATAATTCTGATAATTTTGTTTAAAATTCTTAAACCAATTCATATTTTTATTTTGGTACTCTTAAATTAAATAAAACTTATTTAATTTTTGACTTTTATTGATCTTTAATATTAATAACATCATCAAAATTTAAAAAGTTTTGATAACTTCTTTAAATTTCATCTTATTTTAATAAATTAGAATTCTATCCATTACTTGAACTAAAAGAACCTCTAATCATAGATGGCTATGTATAAAATAATTGAGATAAGTTTTAATCTTAATTTGGAGCATTTAAACTAAAAAATTCTTTATTCTCTTTTGTTAAAAACTTTTCATATTCTGAAAAAACAATAGTTTTTGGAGCCAATATGAATAAACTTAATGATTTTATTCCTATAATATCTTAAAGGAATTATGTACATGAGTCTATTTCCCAATCTTCATTCAATAGTAGATACTATTATTTTGTTTGAATCTATCTAAACATGGCTATATATTCAATTTAATTTGAAGTATAATTATAAATATATTTTAAATATTTGTAGACAGTTATTATATAACCTTAATCATGGATACAAAATGCTTTCTTTCTTTTATATAAATTATAAGATTATCCAGTTTATTAAAAATAATTTATAAATTAATAATGACATTGTTTAAACATTTAAGGCATTAAAATTACAGCTGAACTATTAACTAAAGATTATTTATTGTAATTTAATATTTAAAATGTATTATTTGTACAATTCTTAACAATGCAAGATTAATTAATTTATATTATAAATGTATTACCAGATATTAAAAACTTTTATTAATAGTAATTAATTGGTTCCTCATCAGAAGACTTTTCATCAATATATTCATCTTTTAAAATTTAATCTAAATTAAGTTAAAAATCTGGTAAAATTTCTAAGTCTTACAATTTTAATTTTTTATTTAAAATAAATAATTTAAAGAAAAAGTAATTAAACCATTATCTATTTCTAATGGGTACCTTTTATTTATAATGCAAATTTAAAATTTATTTCTATAATTCTTAAAACTTTTTAATTAGTCTACTTATTTTTTATAAAATAATTAGTTCATCAATTAATCTAATTTCTTCATTTAATAAGTAATTCCAAAACTATTATTAGTATCCAAAAATATTAATTATTATTTATACTGTTTCTTTAATATATGATTCACATTAAAGTAAATGATCAAATGGTAATTTAGATTTATAAGCTTATTCATTTTTTTATTTTATTAATCTTGAGATTATTAATTTAATATTCATTATGTTTATTTGTTAAAATAGATTTAGCTTATCTTCATTTAATTTATCTATTTAAGTTAAACTTACTGAATATAATTTTAATTTATAACATAATAGCTCAATTAATTGGATACTAATACTTTAATCCTAACTTTTTTGTTACATAGTTTCATAAGAACATTTTAAGAAGAAATTTGAAATTCTACCAATATTATCATAAATTGAATCTCTATTTATCAATATTTTCTTATTTCCCTTGGAACTTATTTTATATATAAATTTGGAACGATAAAAACAATTTATATTTGAACATAAAGATTAATGCATTTGAACAATACCTCTTAATAATAATAGATATTCAGAATTTTATTTTAAATATTCTATAGTTTTTTAATCAATGATTCTTGTAACACTATAATTATTGATAGACCTGAATATTAAATATTATCTAATTTTTGAATTTAATTAAATCAAAAGTATAAATGTTAAAATTACTTATAAACAATAACGATCCTCAAAAAAGTTTATAAAATATGATACTAACAAATTTAAAGCAAGTGCAAATTGTATACATATAATAATTTAAAAATAATTGTTTATTTATTTATTTTAAAAAACAGGTAAGTCTAAATGTATTTAAGTAAAAAGTAGTAAATACAAGATCACTAATACTATTGGAAATGCTATCTTTAATAATATAGATATTTACATTCAATTGATCACTTGAATTTATAAATAATTCTAAAAAACTATTAAAAAATATAGTTATAATATAAAATATGAGCGTTTTGGGTGAATTTATTTTTAAAAAGTTTTTTTTCTAAGAATGATCATAATGTAGAAAGAGTATAAGGGTTATTAAGAACAATAATTATTAAACAATTGCAATGAAATCTAATAATATAAAAGCTAAATTTTGAATTTATTCCCAATATGTATTTTAGATTTATAATAAAAATCCATTGATTGACCAAAAATATGGTTATATTAAATATCCAATAATCTATGTAAATATTTTATCATTAATTTACTTGGCCATAAACAGTAAAAGCAATGTTGGTCTAAACATTATATTTCTTCAAATAATATAAAATCATAAACAAAATGATGATGAATGTATTAAAACAAAATATTATTACAATGTATATTGAATGTAGTATGGAAGAGTTTAACATATATTTACTTACATTCAAGGAGCCTAATATTAAGTATAGCTAATTTTGATCATAATTATCATTATCAGCAATTTTTAGATATCTATTTTTAATAAATAGGTAATACATTTCTAAAAGAGGAGAAGTATTTAGTATTGCTCCAATTGAGAGATAAATAAAACTAGTGTAATATGAAGTATTCATAGATTCCTTTAAATCCATCCATATTTAATAAAACATCATTAATTTATTAATTACATATTCAAATCTAAAATATTTGAACTAAAAATTAATGGTAATTTTAACTTTATGTTAAAAGTTTTAACTTTGAATGTTAAGAAAAGATAAGAAATTACATAATATAATAAGTATGAAAATGTTGATATTATATTTCAGAAATAATTAATTAATATATTTTTAATTATATATATTAAGTTTTAACGATAATAATAATTTTATTTAACATTAACAGAATGATCATCGAAAATCAAAGGTGTTTTGGAAAAGAAATTGTTAATTCATCAATCTATCAGTCGATGGAATCAGGTATAATAATTGAAAAAACAAAAAAACCTTTTTCAATTATTCCCAGAGTATTTGCAATCAGTTTGGATGAGAAAGAAAATAAATTATTTAGAAGAGAATCAGAAAGAATTTAAATAGAAATTGAGAATGAAAAGTCAAAGGAGATTAAAAATCCATAAAAAGTATTATTGTACTCAGATGAAATTATCTAACATTTATTAATAGAAGAGGTAATTAATTAATTACTAATTTATTTAGAATAAATATTAAATAGATTAATATATGACTACTGAAATGTAACCAAATATAAATATGAAAATGAGAGCAATTCTAGTAGATTGGCTTATCGATGTTCATGCTAAATTTAAGTTAAGAGATGAAACATTATATCTTACTATTTCCTTAATAGATAGATATTTAGCTAAAGAATAAGTGACAAGATTACGTTTGCAATTAGTAGGTGTAGCTGCACTCTTCATAGCATGTAAATATGAAGAAATATATCCACCTGCATTAAAAGATTTTGTATACATAACAGATAATGCTTATGTTAAGAGTGATGTATTGGAAATGGAAGGTTTAATATTGTAAGCTCTGGATTTCAATATTTGTAATCCAACTGCTTACTAATTTTTATCAAAGTTTTCCTCTGAATTAGATCCTAAAAATAAGGCTTTAGCTTAATATATATTGGAGCTTGCATTGGTTGAATACAAATTTATAGTATATAAACCATCTTTAATAACCTAAGCTGCAATATTTTTAGTTAATAAGATTAGGTATTATATAATTTAATCATTAGAATTCCAAACTTTAGAACCTAAAATGAAGCTACATTAAAACCTTGTGCTAAAGAATTATGTTAATTATTATAAACAGCAGACTTAAGTACATTGTAAGCTGTCAGAAGAAAATTCAATACTACCAAATTTTATGAAGTTTCAAGGATAAAGGTTGAAAAAGTCAATAAATGAAATAGTTAAATTAGTGATTTTTTCTTAAAATAAAAACTTAAATTTTTATAAATTAATACTCATTTTTTTAATATATTCTCAAATTGAATTTTTATTTCACTTATCATTAATTTAGATAAAAAAGTAATATTCTTATAGTACCTTTATTTTATTAATTGATAGGTCTATATTTCTGTATAGGAATAATAAATATTCTTGTAGATTTAAATGATAAAAAGAATTAATTTATAAGAATTCTTTATGTAAAAAAAAGATTAATATTTATTAACTATCTTATTTAGTTTATTTATATCTAAAATATTCATTTAAATATTTTTTTATAATTTTGAGTAACTTGAATATATAATATGAAAATTAATATTTTAGATATAAATGAAGAATATTATGTTTGATAAATATTTCCTTTGATAAACTTAAATAGTTTTTCAAAAATAAAATAAAATGATGATTTTTCATTATTTAATGAATATAATATAACAACTAAAAAATTATTGATTTGTTCATATATTTTCTCTAATTACTAAAGAATTTACTGATGCTTGATCTTTCTTATGTTTATTTTATTTGTGTTTGTTTATTTTGGTAATTTTATGGAACATATATTTGCTTTTGATAACTTTAATTTTTTTTTATCTAAATTACTTTTGAAATCTTTAATATTCTTATAAAACAGTGTCAACATTATTAAGTGGAAAGTAATACTAAAATGAAAACACTGAATCAGTCTCATCATCATATTATTTGTTATCTATTAATTCATCTAATTAATGAAAACTTTTAAGATGATAATTTTATTCCTTATTTTCCTTTCTAATGTCTTCTTTTATTGGAGCCAATTAAGAAGATGATGCAGAATTTTTAACATCATATGGAAATATAGATTATAAAGACTTTCTTTTTAGTGTTATTGGTAGATCATTATCAGCTAGTCTTATACTTAAACGATTTGATTATCTTTTATTAAGATTAAAATTAATATCTTCTATAGCTATTTATCCTTATTTATGTTATGGCAAAACATTTCTTTATTAATATTATTGCCCTTATTTATAAATAGAATCTCTTTATTTTTCTTATTCTATATCTAATTAATTTTTAGTATTATCTTATAAGGAATCTTCAGAAGATGTTTCAGATGGAATTGAAACAATTTTCTATGTTTATTCTTGAGAATCTTCATTATCTAAACTCTTATGTAAAATATTCAAATATCTTTTATCAGATCTTTTAAAATTTTATCGTTATTATTCAGTATGAAATAATGATTTTTTAATCAAAGCTTCAATATTTGGCTTGTAAAATAGAAAGTGACAATCCCAAATAAGATGGCTTTAATTACATGCATAACATTTAAATTATTCATTTTGATATTTTAACTAAATTTAATCTTTCATTTATTGAAATTTTTAATAATCAATTGCATTATCTTTTATTAAATTAAGAAAATCTTCTCTTGAAATTTTATATAATTAACTGAATGTTACACTATATGCACTACAAAATCTTGCCTAAAAAGATAGAAATTCTAATTCTCCAAAACTTTATCCCTTTGTGAAACTTTTAAGAATCTTACCAGAATTATCATCTATTAATTGTATTTCTCCTTTTTAAATAATATAAACTGATTTATCATCATTATTTTATTATTTATAAATTAACTCTTTAGGAGTACATTACTAAAATTTAACATGATCAGCAATTAATCTAATTGTTGCTTGAGAAAAGTTTTTTCTAAAAAAGTCTGATTATTTCAAAACTCTTAATTATACATCTTATAAAAGTTCTTATCTCAAATTATTTGATAATTAATTTAATACCATATCAATTTCATTTTTATTTCCTGTATTTTCCTATTCAAAGAAGTATTTTATATAATTTCTTATCCTACTTTATAATGATATTTAAACTTCATTAAATTACATATAATGATTAATTAATAAAAGTGTTCTTTTATAAACTTATTATTGTGTATCAATGTTACTAAATATCTAACCAATAGAATTAATTGAAAATGCAAATATTCCACTTGCTAAGAACATTAATATAATAGAACAAAGAACTTCATAAATATTTTATCCAGTAACATCTCCATATCCTACTGTAACCATAGTAGCAGTAGCCCAATAAAATGAATATCCATAACAAAATGATATTGGAGCATCAATTAATTTATATTTAATAATCCAAGATTCATTAAATTGATCCAAACTTTTAATACCAACATAATACCAAACACAAGCCATAAAATGTGCAAAATAAAATATCACAATAATTAATTAAGATAAATTAGCTAATTCAATAAGAGTTGATTATGTAGTGAGAGTTTCTTCATAAGTTTTAATTTTCTTTTTTAATTTAATGAAATTAAGTAAGAATTAAGTTAATACAATAATTTCTTTAATGAGATAAGTATCTATTGGTTATTCTCTTATGATGATGATCAAAGTAATTAAATAAATTACATCTTCATACAATTCATATTTGATATAATAAAGAAGGATGAAAAGACGATCCTTCATAATTTAACCTTGATCAATAATGCCAACATTTAATTTAATTATTAAATCAAAAATCATAAAGTAGATTAAAGCTTGTTCAATATTAATCATATCAGTAGAACTTTGAGGAGCAAATGCAATTTTGAAAGGAACCCACCATAATAAAAACATAATTTAAATAATTCTAAAAATTTACCAAATTAAGATAAATTTGCTTGTTGGACTGAAGGTTGGAAGTTTAATTTTAATTGGCTCAAAAAATATTTATTTTCTCATTTAATCTTAATTTGATTCTCCTAAATAAGTTTCTTTTAGAAAATTAATGAGATTGGTTTTTTCATTTTTAGGATAGATATAACCTATTCTCATTAATTTATCTTTAACATCTAATAATAATTTATTCCTATTTATGATTTATTTAATTCTTTTGATTGTTGGTATGTGAGTCATAGTTCGATTCTAAGAAAAAATATATGGATTACTTGTAAAACTAATGAATTCCTAACATTAATCCCATTTATTGAAGGCTATTATTAAGATTCTTTTAATTGATTATCAGAATTCGATTCCCAAAGTTATAATTAAGATGTATCTGTATATTTGTTTGGGACAGGGTTTTAATCTAGAAAAATAGATTATGGCTTAAATTTATCTTGGAATCTATCAGAGAGTCTTGCAGATGCTTAAAGATAGAGATGATTGAACCTTACTGAAGTGAAAGGTGATAATCTTCAGAAAATTGGTCTTCCATTTAAATATATTTATATGAATTGCTTATTAACACAAAATTAATTCAGTCAACATAATCAAAATCAATTGCATTAATTACTACTTCTTTATGCTTAGAAACAATATTATCTATTTCGGATTTAATTGAATCTTCATCTGATTATTTAATTTAAAATCTAGCAGTAAAAATTAATTTTTTTTCTTTATATTACCATAATTTAATTTCTTGAGGTTCAAAACCTCGATGATTTAACTAAAAATCATTTATAATTATAATTACATCATGAGAAATAGCAGCTAAAACTTTCTTTCCTGAATATGGTACATGCATCAATAATATTTTACTAGTATCTTTAAGTAAAGTAATTGTAGTTGTAAGAATGAGTAAAGAGATAATAATAGAAGCTATTGGATCAGCCATATGAAATTAATAGTAATATATAAGCAATGCAGATATTATACATGCAACACTTCCTAAAGCATCAGCTAGAATATGTAAATATACTCCAGATAAATTATGATTATGATCATGATGATGAGAACAATGATGATGATGTTTTTCTTCCAATTATTCATCTACTTCTTCTGAATGAATATGTCCATGATTATGAAAGAAAAATAATCCAATTACATTAACTAGTAACCCTAAGAATGATACAATTAACATTTTTTCAGGAAGAACTTCTTAAGGAGTAATTACTCTTTCAAAAGATTCTGATATTATTTCAACAACTGCAAATAATAAAAATACACCATTTGCATATCCAGATAATATTTCTACTCTTTCATATCCAAATGTATATGTTGAATTGGCTTTTCTTTTAGCCATAAAACTAGCAAATAATGCTATTGCTAATGCACTTGAATCAATAAGCATATGTAATGAATCTGTTATTAATCCTAAACTATTACTAATCCAACCATATATTAATTCAACAAACATAAATGAAAAATTAAGGGATAGTTGAATCATTAATTTCTTAGAATCTGAATTATTTGATAGATGATTTAAAAATGCTTATAATGATATTTCATCATCACCAACTATTCTATTATTAATCTATATTAAATGTAATTCTTCCTCAGTATTCTCAAAAATGTTTAGAGCAGCTAAAATAGAGAGACATACCCATATCACTTAATGATTGAATGGATCAAAAATTTTATCTTTCAATTCGTAAATCAAAAATAAGAGACACATAATAACACCTATAAATTTATTATGTTATTCTTTTGTAATATTGTAGGTTATTTTCTATAAGGCCAATAATAATAAGCCTATCATTAACAAATTGAACATAGGAAATTCCATAATATTAAATCCTTCCTATTCTTCTGAAATTAGAATCTAATGTTTTACAATAATGATACTTCATAGATAGATATTGTGAGAATTATGCCTAAAGCTAATACATATGATAAAATAGTGGAGATCTCATCTTCTTTTTATATTTAATGTTATTAAATGACTTTTTTAGTTATTTTTTCTATTAGAGTTACTAATGTAAGTGAAAATAGATTTATATTTGTTCCAAAAATGAAAATAATAATAACAAAGAAAAATTGGATCACTTTTATTTTGTTAAGATTCCTAAAAGCCAATTAATCTGCCACGTATGAACTTATTATATAAGAGAATATTACATCAAAAATGAAAACATTATTAGACTATATAATGATGAAACATAGTGTATTAGTTTCAAAGTAGCAATACCTAAGATCTTGAGTGGATTTGTAAATGTTTTTGTTTTCAATGTAATTATTCTCCAGACAAATAACATTATGAAGGTTATCATCAATAGAGTATTGATTTCAAATATGTTTGGAATCTTCTAAGCATATGTCTCAGATATTGACATTTTAATTGCCTGTTGTATGAAACATTGAATAAATGAATTCATATTTATATTGAATATAAAATGATGAATCTCATCTTCCAGACCATGAGGCTACTTATTTCTTGAACATAATGATGACTTCTGCAAGAATGGCATTCTCTTCATCTCTTTTAGCCTTGGCTTCAGCATAATCAGCTCTCTTGTTTTCCAAGTCTGATAAAGCTTAATCTAAAGCATCTTATGATTCTTAAAGAATTATCTTTGATTTAGCTTATTGTGCTAAGGCAGCTTAAATTTACTAAATATTAAATTAATATTACAGTAGCCAATCTATCAGCATAAACTTATTTTCTTTCATATTCAACTTTGAGATTTTCTACTTCAGCTTCACTCAATGATACCCAACCAGCTAATTCCCATGATGCATTGATTTCATTAACTTCAAGAGCTTCAAGTGAGGCAGCAAGGTTGACTTCAAGTGATTCCAAAACAGCCAAAACTCTTTCTGCTAATGTAGCTCCTCTGCTTACTGAACCATCTTCTTATTTGTTGGCTAATTAGAGGAATGATTATAATTCTTATTCTTAGAATGTATTGCTATATTGCTTTAATTTTTCAGCAACACTTTGAACTTAAACTAATTCAAAGGAATCTCCATTAACAATATATCCAGCAACATCTTATTTAAGTAATCTTACAACTTCAAGAGCTTCTCTGTTTTATTTGATTGATCTAACAAAGAGTTGATTGCTAAGACATTATTCATCAAGAAGAACTTAGATCTTTCTATTAATTTCATCTTATCTTTATTCATTCCATGCAAGATAATTCTTTGTATCTTGGAGATCTTATTCAAATTGAGCTCTGTTCTCAATTGATTATTGGAATAATTTTTGATTCAAAGTCTTAATTTTTGTAAATTACTCTATTGTTCTATAATTATTAAACATAATTACTATGCGCCAATCCATTCATCTGTTTCATTCTTTTAATCTGCTGCAAATTGAGCATCTTTATTTGATTGAATTAAATCATTCAATAAACCAAAGACAGTGTCAATGGCATCACTTGCTTTTGTTCCTGTTTAAAGGAGAGCAAGAATTTAGTCTTGAGTGGATGTGGCAGATGCCAATGTTACTAACAATACAAGTGCGATTGTAATTTTCATTATTTAATAATAATATATAAAAACGGGTAATTAAAATTAAATAAATATGAACGATGATGAGGGACTATTTCTTAAGAATCAGTTAAATTAATTATTAATTAAAACTACATAAACACTTATTTATAGACAGATCCATAGAAATCTTGTATAATAATCAACATAAAAGTGTTGCTTTTTAAACCTAAAGTAAACTAAATCATCTAATTTCAAATATTAATTATTTTCGATAATCTCAAACTATACCATCTCCTATTCAATTTACTTAACATTATGCTGCTTAAAAGGTTGTAGAAATGAATATAATTTTATGTTATAATATGATACAAATATATAAATTTATATTCATAATGATTCTATTTTTAAGTTCATAAATTTGATGACCATCCTCATTTATCAAATTATTAATATACTAATTACTTACTCTTTCTTCCATAATTGTTGATAACAATTTTTGATCATTAAAATAGTTGTAGATATAAGACTATGAATGATTATACCATAATCCATCCTTTATAATTAAAAATGGTTTTAAATGGAAATCTATAGAAAGTAATGTTAAATTTTAAATTTCATAATACTCATAATTTAAAAGTATGATTATTTTCTAGATTTATAAGTCTTTTCCATAATTTAAATACTCAATATAGTACTCTTCTATATAGGATATAAATTTATATATTTAATAAAACAAGCAAATTCTTTTTTCAAAAATTAAAAAAGAATATATATTAATTATTCATTTATAAGATATTGAATAAACTATTTTTATCATTTATTTATTAATTAGACAGACATTTTTTGGTAAAAAGAGTTTAAAAAAAAAATTAACTTAATAGGATCTTTTATAAATTGACAAGAATTCCTTTAAAAGCTGAGTATATTATCTGGAACAATACTAAATGTTTAAAAAAATGGTTGCATTTAAATTAGGAAAATGCTATTATGCAATCATTAGGATTTCAATACTAAAAGAAATTTAATTATACTCTTGATAAATTTAAATTGAAGACATAATAATCTTGAAATACTCAAATGATGGAATAAGAGAATTTTTCCTTCAATTAAAAAATAGATTATTCTTAAGTTTTTCAAAATAAAGAATGAATGCGTCACATAACTATATTAATTTTCTTATTAATTAATAAAATGACTTAATCAATCATTTATACACTTTTTCAGGAATAAATTATGATATAAAATCATACTATATAAATGACATATGTGATCTAAAATATCTAATTCAATTGATTATTGAGAAATACATAGAATACAATTATTTTATTTAATTGAATATATTATATTAAGTAAATTGATTTGATATTATTATTTCCATAATAAAATTTTTGATTAAAGTGGAGTATATTTACATATTTTGAATTTTTATTTTGATTATATGAATGCAGATTTCATAAAAGTTATTATTTGGATTTATATATTTTCTCAATCAAAAAAATAAAGAAATCGTTTTAAATATTAAATATATAAAATTTTTATTCATATACATATTCTTCACTTAAAACTATAGAGTTAACTTAATTGATCAAAATTATCAATTAAAGGATATATTTATTCATATGTAGTTTTCGCTAAATTATTTTATGTATATGGGTCATTATTAATAAAAGTCTTTATGTTGTTGTCATCTTCTGTATTGATTATATAGTATGCTCCATTGTATGGAAATTGACCTCCACCTATAATTTAGGCACCTTTAGATATTAATTTTTATAATTATTTTTCATGTTCTTAACGCAAAGGGACTAAAAATAAATAAATGATAAATTTAGTACTGCGATGATAATACATGTCTTAAATATATTGTTGAGATACTAGGAAGTATTTCTAATAAAGGGCGAATGAATATTTAATTTAATTTGTGATCATGAATATTAATTAAATTATAATATTATTTGAATTAAATGCAATAAGAGATTACAACAATCCCAACAAAAATCTTTAGAAATGCATAATGGATATCTAAAAATTTAAGTGTAAATAAAAGAAAAAGTCCAAATTATCCTTGTAAAAGATGGGGCCATACTGCTGTATTACATGATAAATACATGTATGTTTTTAGTGGTTGTGGCAAATCAGACAATGCCAAATAATGGGAATTAATCTATCGTATGGATTGCTTAACATTTTAATGGGAAAGATTAACTAGTCCTTCTGCTAATCATCCATCTAGTAGAGATTCTCATTGCTCAATTTGCCTTCAAAATAAGCTGTATTTTTTTGGAGGGTCTAGTAATGATTTCATTATGGGTGATTTTTGGAGCTTTGATATTGATACATCAGAGTGGACAGAAATATAAGTACCAAAAGATATGTAAGCAAGAGAGGGACATTCAATGGTTGCTTTATCATAGAGATTAATTTACATATATGGTGGTTGGGATTAAGTATAGAATACTATGACAGAGTCACATTGGTTATATGATGTAAAAACTAATAGATTTTTATAAATAACAAATTTTACTGGAGATGAGATGATAAAATTAGAAAGTCATACAGCAAATAAGATTGGAGAGAGTGTTTATATATTTGGTGGTTAAGGTTAAATGTCATAAAAGCAATTAATGTTTTATAAGGATTTATATAAGTTGGATTTTGAGAATATAAATGATTTACAATAAAGATTTGATTAATAAGATTTATTAGAGGACAAAAAGTAAAATGTTGAAAATAATATTGTTATTAAAATTGAGAAAATAAAACCAAATGGATCATAATAACCAACACCTCGTGCTTCTCATTCTGCAGTTGTTTATGCTGATAGATTTCTTTTTATAATAGGAGGGGAAGGGTATATTGATTGAAATATTAATTAGTTATTAATATGATTAATAAAAGGATAATGAGGAAGAAGCAATAGAATAGGATTAAGAAGATAATTTTTAGAATGTTGATGAAGAAGAAAAACCTATTTATCCTAAGAATGATATTTGGATATTTGAAACTATTATGAGGGTAGCATTTCTTAATTAAAGTTTTAGACATGGAGTAAATTAGTACCAAGATCCAAGACTCCTATATTTTAGCCAAGATTTTCACATAGTTGTATTGTTTTTAAAGATTAATTGATTGTATTTGGTGGATTGAGAAGTATGGGAGAAGTTTTGGAAGATATAATGGTATTACATTTAAAAGATAGTGAAAATCATTTATAAAAGTTTTCAAGAGATGAGATGAAGAATGTTTGTAAATATTGTTAATTGATATATGGTAATTAATAAGAAGAGGATATTTCTTTTAATAAAGTAGCAGAAAATAATGCTATTCGTTAACCAAAATTATCTTTGACTTTTATTGATGAGTAATTTATTTATAATATTTTAAATATAGAATTTCAAAACTAGTTTAATCACCTATGTCTTGTTTTGGATTGTTTTTAGACAATGCAAAATTATCTGAAGCTTCTGAATTAAAAATTGAATATGCTTATCGTCTAAAAAGAAAGAAGTATTAATATACAAATGAAGATATGTAAGAGAAAATCCCATTAATAATTTTATTTGAAAAAGAAACTAAAGATTTAGAAGATTTAAGTGATTTCTTATTTAATTTTGATATTCCAAAGAAGAAAATATGTTTAAATAAATAAGATTATGAATAAATAACAAGAAATGGAGGAGAAGGTTTAATATAAGAAGAATAATAATAATATAATAAAAAATAATATGCATTAAATTTTAAAATTGCTTCACTTCGATTAGGTGATAGTGTATTGATATGTCATAAATCATAGAATAATTATTATGTTGGTTTTATTTCAATGAATAATCTTTTAAATCCTAATGATGAATCTTTGACATTCTACAATTATACTCTTACTATTAGTAGTGAGAAAGAAAGAAAAGTAGATTCTCCTGAAAGTAAATATATTTTATTGAATTCTATCACTCATCTTTTAATTGAAGAAGATTTCATATTAAATTGTAATTACAATTATACAAAGATTTTTATATTTGATCTTGCTAAAATACATTCTCATCAAAAAATATTTGAATTAAATCTTTAAAATGATGATATTATCTCAAATACATATGCAGCTTTTGATCTTAAAAAGGATGAAGCTATTAAATATCCTGATTATTCATTAAAAGAATATATTAAATTCTATTCCTTAGATTAACTACCATTTAAGTTATTTATAAATGATCAACCATAAAATTATTCATCTATTAAAAATAGAATGGAAAACAAATTCAAAGTTATGGTGGGTAATGAAAAATTAGTTAATAGATTAAATGAATGCACTGAAGCATATGGAATTTGTAGACTTCCCTAAAATAATTTAGGGATATTTTTATATTACTAAGGTAGATTGATTAATAGATACAAAAAATCTTTGGGAATATTTTTAGGAAATTAAGAATATAGTGGATATTTAAATTTAAGTAAATTCATCAAACCTAATTTAACATCTGAAGTATAATTTTATTTATATTATCATTAGGGTTTTTAAAATTCATATTTAAGATCAATTTTATTTCAATTACTAGGATCGTTGGAAGAAGAATTAGAACCAGAAAGAAGAAAAGAGATTAAAGTGTGAGTTCAATGATTTTATAACAATCTACGTGAACTATTTTATTTATTGTTTCATTTTCAATCTTAATTAAAACACTCTTAAAATAATTACATAATAAAATTATTTTTATAAAACTAAACAATCTAAATTACATATGAATGATAATCATGAAACATTCTTTTTTGCTAAGAATTAAAAAAGGAGAATACATGAACAAGACTATGCTATAAAAGTTATCTCACATACAAAGGTTGACAAAGAGACTATTTAATTGAGTGAATCATTATTTAATGCTAAAATTACTGCAAAATAATCCTCTTGTATTATCAAAGATATCTAAAGAACTATTTAATAAAAAATAAAGTTTTATGATGAATAACTGAAAAGTACTGATTCTTTTAAAAAATAAACAGACAGAAAAAGTTTGAGTCCAGACATCAATAAACCAAAATTTATTGAAAATTAATTAAAATCAAAGAACTAACAATTTTCTCCTTAAAAAATCATTATATAACCTAATCATAATTAAGAATAAATATAAACTCCAATCAAAAAAAATAATGAAATCTAATAATAATCTCAAAAGTCCTTGAAATAATAAACTTAAAGCATTTCTCCTACTAAAAGGCAATCTTAAAATTATGAAAGAAATCGATAAAAAAATTATTCATCACCTAAAATCAAACAAAAATGTAGCTCATAATATATGCAATAAATAGAAAAAGAAAGTTCTTATTCAAGACAAAAAGTAAAGGAAATATAAAAAGAACTGGAGAATACTTAATCTACTAATAGAGTATAAACTGCAAGAGTTAATGGAATTGCAGAAAGAAATGAAGAATGGAAACAAAAACTAAAAAATAAAATAGATAACGAATAAAAGAAATAATAATAAAAAGAAATGGTTGATTGTACATTCAAACCTAGAATTAATAATTAAAGAAATACAAAAAAGTATTAAAAAAGTATAAGCAAAGAATTTTAAACAGAAATTAATGAATTGATGCATCTTATTGATAATTAAAGTCAAGTAAAAATTAAATTATGATAATAATTATATTATATTTTGTTTATAGAATGTTTTAAATAAGAATTATTAAAATTAATGGTATTTTACATCAACTTTAAATAATATTGTACCTTATTTCTTTTAAAATCTTATAAATAAAAGTTGACATTTGATTTTTATTTATAAATTTAATTATTATGCCACCAAAAAGATAACATCATAAAACTTAGTCATCAGAAATCCCACCACAAGCATTAATGAGTTATCTATCTAATAGAGAATAAATTTAAGCACGTTTCTCTAATTCACCCACTTTACAAATAGATTTCAAAGTAACAAAATTAATTTATATCAGGCTAACAAATAATTAATTCATTAATAAAGTCCATTATTAAGATCAAATGGTTCTTAAACTAATCTAAGAATAGCACAACAATAGTATCTATTAATTATAATAATCTGAGGCAAACATAAAGGAAAGTATAATAATAGGATTTGCTCAAATCAAAAGGGTTCATGTCTCCTAAATTTGTTAGTCAAGAGAAAAAACAAGTCTAATCAAAAACTGTGATGAGATAAGGAGGAAATCACATTAAGACTCAACCTCATTCTCATTAAAACTCTTAATCATCAATTACAAAAATCGATAAATCATAAGACGATTATAAGTAATTATCTCTCATCTCTTCTGCATTACCAAAATCCTCAGAAATTATGTTAACCCAACCTTAATCTGCTATGAATAAAACTGAACTCACATTAAAATAGAAAGCAGATTTAGCAATATAAGAAATGAAGTAAAGATAATAAGAAGAATTGTTTTAAAGAATTAATTTTTAAAAATCTTTAGGAGTTTCAAGTGCAAAACACTAATCCTAATTATTTTTATAATAAAATTCTTATAAATCCAGTAGTACAAAACAATTAGAAAATTAAAAATTTTAAACTCATTCTGCTTCTCAACCAATGATTGAATTTACTCCTAATAAACAAATCACAAACAGGTAAAGTAATAAATTTATTTCATAGAAAATAATTCTAGGATTCAATTAATCTCATATTACTTTGTAAAACACTTAAAGAAAAAATAACTATAGAAGTTTAATAAAATTCGATACAATATTTAGTAGACTTAGTCAAACAAATTATCTCAAAACATTTTGGAACTACTTTACCCACTGTTATTGGAATAAAAACTTGTAATATTTCAATTCCTGTTGATTATATCTTATCAAAAGTAGAGAGACCATTATCTCTATTAAATTCAATGCAACTCCAACCATTGATTATTGAACCTGTATTTGCTTTAGATAATGAAATCAAAACTCCTAGAGTCAGTTTAAAAGACTTTGAATTCATAAGATGTATAGGAATGGGAGGATTCTCGAAAGTTTATATGGTTAGAGAAAGAAAATCAGGATAATATTATGCTATGAAATTGATAGAGAAAAATCCCATTATTTAATAGAATAAATAAACTATAATATAAAATGAGAGAGATATTATGTCTATACTTAATCATCCTTTTATTGTAAAAATGCAATATGCCTTTGAATCTAGAAAATATTTAGTTTTTGTATTAGAATACTGTTCAGGAGGAGAATTGTTTTACCTTTTGAGAAAAGTATATTGATAAAAATATTAATTAGGTCAAAAGAATGAAAGAGGAGGAAGCATTCTTTTACTTTTCAGAAATTTGTTTAGGTATGAAAAACCTACATGAAAATAATATTATTTATAGAGATATTAAACCAGAAAATATATTAATAGATTTTGATGGTCATGTTAGAATAGCAGATTTTGGTTTATCAAAACCCAATATGACAGAATAAGATATAGGATATTCATTTTGTGGATCACCTGAATATATGGCACCAGAGATGCTATTAAAATCTGGACATACATTTCAATTAGATTTATATTGCTTAGGAGCATTATTATATGAACTTGTTACTGGTTTACCTCCTTATTATTCGAGAAATACAGAAGAGATATACACAAGAATATTAAATTAAAAGTTAAATTTTCCTCCTTAATTATAAATGTCTACTTAAATTAAAGATTTATTAAATAATTTGCTAGCTAAAAATCCAAAAAATAGAATCGATAACATATAAACCTTATTAAGACATCCATGGATGATTTAATGGGGTGATAAAAATTTATATAAGGATATTTTATAAAAAAAAATTGAACCTCCTTTTAAACCAGACCATTATTCGTTTAATTTCGATGAAGAAGAATTTGGCTAAGGTGAAGCAGAATTCTTAGCTTTTATTAAACCACTTTAGTAAAATATCTCTGAAAATTTTCCTAAAGAAATTATATTAAAATAATTTTATTACAATAGTAATGAAGCCAATTTTTAAGAGAGTACTGGAGGTACAAGAAATAATTAAATGGAATAATAATGCACATAAAGATAGAAAAGTAAAAGATTGAATACATTTGAAAGTGAAAATTAAATGAACCAACAAGATTAAAAAATCTTTTTATTAAATTAACTTAAAACACAAACTGATAATGATTAAAAGAGAAAATCAGCATGAACTCAATTTTAGTTTATTAAATTTTTTAGCTAAAATATTATATATATATTATATATTTTGTTATTTTCAATAAGTTTTATGTTATATTTAATTTTATCTATGATATTGTATTCAATATGCTTTTATTGATAGTATATAAGGTTTAGATTATTATAATAATTTATTTTTTATAGAAAAATGAATTAAATTGATTAGAATCTATATATATTATCATTCTTTTTTACTTAAATGATGTAAAAATAATTAATTAATTCAATAAAAAATAATTTTAATAATTAATAGTTACAAAATATAGAACAATAAATTATGTCATTATTCATCATCTGTATTGACTATTTTAATATCAACTCCAATTTACTCAAAAATATCATTTAAATCACCTTTTTTCTAGTTTTCATTTTCATTTATTTTATCTTCTTAAAATTTTTAAAGACCGATAAAATTATTGTTTTAAACTTAAGAAGATACAATTTGTTAAGGAAAGACTGGTGGCAACCAATAGCTATTAAAAATACTTTAATTTATTGGAACAAAATAATTAGGTTAATTTGCGAAATATAATAGTTATTAGATTGATTAAGTACCTATTGAATTTCTTATATAATTTTAATTTGGATCAGATTAAGTAGATGAAGTTGTCGTATTATCTTCTACTTTAACTTTCTTTTTAATTTGATTTAAAACAATATTTTAAAAATCTATTACATTATAAGGTGTTAGATATAATTTATTATTTTTATGATTAAATATAACAACTCCACACTTTTCATTATTAAGAATTAAATTCTGATCTACCTTTTTAATATTAAGTTCTTTTTTATATAGTATGGATTTGGATGTTTTGATTGAAGGATCTTCATGAAATAAATTAAAAAAATCATCATTATTTATTTTTTCAGCTTCTTCAATTTTACCTTCTAACATGCATTATTCAATGTATAAGCCTTAAATTGCTAAAACTATAAATTGCCATTCATAGTTATCTATTTCTTCAATTGGAGTGACATTACCATAACGTTTAGAATAGTCTTTTCTCAATTTTTATACTTTCTCAAATAAATGAGGATTTATCGTTTCAAATTCATATTTCATTTTTTCTTTTTTTAGGATTGAATTGTATTTATTTTTTAAAGAGTTTTCAGTTCTAACTCTCCCATAAAGGGTTGAAAGTTCTGACCATTTCTTTCCTCTCATCAGTATTGTTTTCAACAAATCTATTTCTTATTGTTTATTCCAAGGGTCACTAATTATTATCTTTTTTGGTACTTAGAAATATTTGGATCCAAACGATTAATCCATCTTTCTCTACATTATTTAGGTTATCTAAATATTTTATTATTGGATCTTTTAAATATTTCCCTTGAGATTTATGACCATTTATTCTCCCTACCTGTTTTCTTAAATTCTCTAAAACTTAGAAACACTCTTACTCATGCACTTAATAAAGTAAGTTGTCTTCTTATTCA